TGTCTGACGGCTGTTATTTCCGTGGCTGACGGCAGGCATTAGAACTGCAATGGTCGTGGCTTACGGCCGACATTAGAGCCGATATGCCGCAGCTTACGGCCGACATTAGAGCCGTGATGCTGTGGCTGACGGCCGGCATTAGAGCCGTGATGGTCGTGACTGACGGCCGGCATTAGAGCCGCTATGCCGCAGCTGACGGCCGGCATTAGAGCCGTGATGGCCGTCATCTAGTTCGGATGGGGAGTTTAATCGATGAATTTTCCCGCTCACTGATCTTGTGATTAATTAGAAGACACCGCCCAAGAACTGATGGCGGATCTGCGGGGTTATGACAGTGTGAAACTAGCACCAGCTCTCGGCTCTTTGTGGCGCTTGTAGATGCCACATTGCCACATGCTGGCTAATTGTGTGGCAGCGTCTTGTGACGCGCGTGGATGCGGCATCACTATTGTGCAGCATGCTACAAGTATGCGCTTGCTAGGCATTTGCAGTGACAATACTATTGTCAAAGTGGCGATATTATTGGCGATTGCTGCCGAGAGCAGTGGGTGCTATAGGTGTCAACTGTGATAGATATCACTATAGCTAGTACGAATATTTAGTTGTCAGCTGTGATGGGTTTCACTTGCTAGTCGAAGATACGAATGTTTTTGCTGTAATGGCAATTTTTCTGTGTTGTTAGGCAGCGGCAGCAGCACATTTAGTGCCTGCCTTAGCGCCAGTTTTCGCCTAGTGAACCCTGAACAATATACAGTTTTTGAAGCTTTTATAAATTGCAAAGTAGTCTAAATACTAGCGAAAGATTCTTACAATACAACGAAAAATCCACTTAAAACACATTACAAATCCAACAAAAACTATTCTGTCTAACCAAGTGAAACACACTACAACTTCATCTATAATTTCACCTATAATTTAGTTCAACGCACTCAAAAAACTCAATACAAGACACGAATATCCCGGCCGATTGCGCGCGGGCGACCACACACAGCGCCGTTTCGCAAGCACCGTGACACGGAAAAAAAAACTCCGTATCTTTTGCCGTTATACGGGCAATAATTGTACCGTTTCTCTTTCAAGAAAGAATGAATCTTTGTGTAATTGAAAATAAAGTGGAATTGTGCTCTTTTTTTTGTCGTATTTGCTTTGTCGTCAATGAAATATTTATAATTTATAACAGTGGGAACATAATGTATTGCCATCTTCTTGAGGTCTATTCGATGCATTTACTCTATTCAAATTACACTATTCAGTTATAAATAGTACTAGTTCTCAGGGTTAATTTTACTCATTTTGCATTTTATCCTCTTAAAGCATTTAACAAGCGTCTGAAATTATTATGAATTTTCAATTATTTTAAGATATTTATGAACCAGATCCAACGTTCTCACTGATTAACTTTACAATTATTTTTGCGTCTCTAAATTGCAAAAAGAAGAAACAATTAATGTTGTGCAGAATAAGAGTATAGACTTCAATTAGGAAAAATTTATATATAGCTTCATTGGGAAAACTATATAGTCTTAATTGATTCTAACTGATCGATCATCTCAATATCTTGAAACTAACTGCCCGAACACTTGCAAAAATGACAGTTCAAACATCTTTGATACATAATTTTCCCATAGACCTTGAGAAGAGTTCAAGCATCTCAGATTATATTTCAATTGACTTGGAGAGGAACAGGTTGAAAATCTCAGATAAGCTTTCAGTCACTTTAGAAAAGAACAGTTCGGACATCTTAGATACTACCTAGCGAATACACCTAAAAGGGACTATTTTAGATTGGTTCTCATGAGAAGAACAGTTCAAACATCTTAGATACTACCCAGCGAATACGCCCTAAGAAGGGACTATTTTAGATACTCCGTATCTTTTGCCGTTATACGGGCAATAATTGTATCGTTTCTCTTTCATGAAAGAATGAATCTTTGTGTGATTGAAAATAAAGTGGAATTGTGCTCTTTTGTTATCGTATTTGCATTGTTGCCAATGAAATATTTATAATTTATAACAGTGGGGACATAATGTATTGCCATCTTTTTAAGGTCTATTCGATGAGTTTACCCTATTCAAGTTACACAGTTCGGTTATATGTAAATACAGTATTACTAGTTCTCAAGGTTGATTTTACTCTTCTTGCATTTTGTCCTCTTAAAACATTTAACGAGCGTCTGAAATAATTATGAATTTTCAATTATTTTAAGATATTTATGAACCAGATCCAACGTTGTCACTGATTAACTTTACAATTATTTTACGTCTCTAAATTGCAAAAAGAAGAAACAATATTGTGCAGAATAAGAGTATAGATTTCAATGAGGAAAAATTTATTTATAGCTTTATTGGGAAAACTATATATATATAGGCTTAATTGATTCTAACTGATCGATCATCTCAATATCTTGAAACTAACTGCCCGAACTCTTGCGAAAATGACAGTTCAAACAACTTTGATATATAATTTTCCAATAGACCCTGAGAAGAGTTCAAGCATCTCAGATTATATCTCAATCGAGAGGAATCGGAGAGGATTATATATATTATATCCCAAGATTATATCTCAATCGGAGAGGAACAGTTCGAAAATCACAGATAAGCTTTCAGTCACTTTAGAGAAGAACAGTTAAACATCTTAGATACTACCCAGCGAATACGCCCTAGAAAGGGACTATTTTAGATTCGTTCTCATGAGAAGAACGGTTCGAACATCTTAGATAAGTTCCCAATAGACTGCAGAACAATCCGATCTGTTCTTCGAGAGTACATTTGCCGCTTGAGCTCAGCCGTGGCGCTACTTTAGACGAGCTTCTAACTTCGCTGTTCTCCAGCTAGACCCGAAAATTTCAACTCAGTACTAAATGGATTGGTATCGGGGTACTTGGTTTGATATTTCCACGTTTTCGTGTATTGGAAAATTTGTCCATTTCTGCACTCAAGATTTTATAGTACTCAAGGCTATGGACCATTAATAAAAAATTCATATTTATTAAAAAATATTTAGGTTTTTCTTCTCTGAATACTCTTATTCCGGCCGAATCACTTTTGACAAAATTATGTTAGTTAAGCGCCTTTCTTAATCCAAGATATCCATCTAGATAATGTTCCCGGAGCTCAAATCTATACGACATATTAACATTTTGACCGATATACCTCCTTGTGTATATTATACGCCGCGTTTGATTCGCTCAATCCCAGTTTTCCTACGAAAATTCACACAAACTCCCCTGAAAACACCTGCTTACGTCCCAGCGAGTGTTCTAAATTGACCAGCGGAGCACCCGACTTGCGCCCTTAGCAAAGAGCGTCGTAAGGCCGGCGGTAGCGCGGATACGACCTCCCACTCTGATCCTGCCAGTTATACGGACTCAAGAGCTTGCTTACTTCCTAGTCACTTCTCCGGGTCAAAATTAAACGGCTTCGAAAAGTTTTGCTGTCTAATTCAAAAGCATTTTCAGTAGTAAGTAAGTTCATTTTCAGCAGTAAGTTTATTTAAAAGATTGGTTTGCACTTTATTTTGGTATTACGAGCAAAGTGAATTTTTTATGTCTGCCAACGTCTAAGTTCATCAGGGTCCGTGTTACTGAATCCGAATTAATTCATATTTGAAAATTTTTATAATTTTCTTTGAACCTATGTTCCAAATTTTTCCAGTTCCTTCGCTTTAAACAGAGCAATAGTTGTATTGCATATATTCGCTTATTGAAATGCGACGAAATTAAATAATAAATATGGATTACAATGCCCCACAGAATGTACGTTTGATATTGAAGGTATATTCTATAAGGAGGGATCTTTATCATAAGATCAGGAGACGAATGCCACATCATCCTCCTGGGCCTATATATACTTTCAAAAAAAGTTAAGAGATCGTAAGTTCTTCAGCCAATCATCGACGGCCTTTCAAGCAAAATCCACCAATCATGGACTAGAAACTAGAGCTTAAGTACTTACGTTCACTTAGCGAATTTTGAAAGTATGGCCCCTGATCCAGAAGTCAAATAAGAGCCTGGGTCCTTGACGCTTTGCGCATTCAGCAAACATCGCACATTCTGTTATTCATTCTATTTGATGTTGGCTTTGCGTTCTTTCTGTTACCGCGCTTGACGTGAGTCTGGCGTAGCACATTACCTTCACAGACTCCATTGTTGCGCTTTCCTTTAAAGTTGGGCTTCTGGGAGACGAAGCACTCGCGCTCTAACCCCCCAGGAGTGAGGCGGGAAATGACTCAAACCATGTGTTGCTCCCCATCTGCATAATCCAATCACAGCCCCCCTTGCTGCGATATAGGGAGGCTATGTGGCGGTCCCCCTGTACACCAACCTCTCCCCTGGCTTTAACATTAACTGCTTGTCCCTGTCTGGCGCACTCATCCAGCCTGACTGTTGTTGCCACAACGCTCGTCAAGCCTCTGGCATGACGCAGAACTGTAGCTCATTAAAAATTATTCGATTTATGCATCATATTTCAGAAAATTACATTCAGTTTTAATTTTTAATCATTCATTACTGTTAAGGACACAAAGGAAAAAGGTATTTTAGATCAAATTCTTCAAACTTTTTTTGACGTCTAACGAATTCGGAAAAAAATTGCTGGTGACTTATAAGTTTGAAAGGGATTTAAATTTGATTTTAACTATTTACATCATTTATGTTAAAACTCTGCCAAGGTAAATTGTGCAAAACTGAAATTGAAAAATTTTAGAGCTCCTTATTGAGGACGATCTTCATTTGAACTGCTTGATTGTATTCTCTCGTACATTCGTGCACTTTCTTGACATGTGAGCATGAATAAATGTAATTATTCCGAACATTACGTTAAAATTCCATTTGTTTTTGTCTTCGTTATTTCTACAGGTCAATGTTGTGATGTCCATTTATGAAGCAAAGAAACCTTTGGGGTTGATGGCCATCACAGCTACGAACTGACCAACTAACAACTAACGCACCTTTGCTTAATTTCTAATCACTGTCTTCATATTATCAAATATCTTTTTCCAGGTTTTACGAGACAGGTTCCATCAGGCCAGGTGTGATTGGCGGCTCTAAACCCAAAGTGGCTACTCCAAATGTCGTAGATGCAATTGCTGGATACAAAAAACAGAACCCTACGATGTTCGCGTGGGAGATCAGGGAACGACTTCTAGCCGACAACATATGCGACCAAGAGTCGGTTCCTTCAGTGTCTAGCATTAATAGGTGGGTTCTTATTTACATGTCTAACCTTTTATTCTTGTCGATCCTTCCTTAGATATTACGAAACGGGTAGCTACAAAGCCGGCGTCATTGGAGGATCCAAACCCAAAGTGGCGACTCCCATAGTTGTGGACGCTATAGCCAAATACAAAAGAGAGAATCCCACGATGTTTGCTTGGGAAATCCGCGACCGGCTCTTAGCAGAAGGCGTGTGTACGCAAGAAAATGTCCCTTCTGTATCATCCATTAACAGGTAATGCAAAATGTTACCGACCCACGTTCCGTTTTGCACGATCGCACCTCCTGCAAGAATTTCCGGCGGTCTCATCTCGAGACCCAATTTTCTGAGTTTGCTTCTGTAGAGTGCACGCGATTCGCTTCAGTGTGGCGCAGCGCACCCCTTAACACTTTGTCTACGGACTCATTATTCGCCGTCAGTTTTATTCTTATCGAAGAACCTGGTAACTAAAGTTACCGCCACTAGACAAAGGGTTAATACCCTGTAAATGATCATAGCCGCATTTCGGTTGTATTTAATGCGACCAACGGTTTGCTGCACATGAATTGCCTGTGCTTTCCGATTGGGTTCATCATCGATATTTGCTTGTAGACTTCAAGAATCCACCTTAGTTTGCACCACCGTCTTCTGCACCCTCACGTGATGTACACCCAAGCACTGCATTATTTTATGAAGGTTAATTTGTTTACAACTAATTTTAATTTGCTTTGTTCCTTCTTCTTAAAACTCGGTGATTCTTCCAAGGTAAGGAAATTTTTTAAAGCTTTGTTAGTGTGTTTAATTGTACTCCACCATTCCCCTAGAAATTTTTTCCTGCTGTTTTATTTTAATTTCCTCTTGATTATGCTAGTAAAATTCATAAGGCGCATGAATTCTGTACGCAACACCGTTCCTCCAGCGCTAAACAATGTCATGCTCGTATCGTTCGTATTCCCGTTGCTTTAAGTGCTTTATTTGTCTCCTGTTTGTTGAACTTCTAATGCCTAGGGCACAACTTCTAATGTAATTTATTTCTATTTATCCTGAGAGTCGAGAACCATACGTTTTTCGTAGACTGATCGATTGTTCAATATTTTAGCATCATCAGTGCTGATTTGTTTTTTTAACAATTTTATTTATGGAGTAGCGATACAGGCAGGTAACGTATTTTCAATGAACGGAAAATAATTTTCCTTGTTTGTTGCTTAAATTTTCATTTTAATTTACAATTGGGATGAACTAATGAATTCATGTTGTCTATCAACTACTCCATGGCAATACATTTATAATTGAATTACTAGTAAACTGTCTTAGAGGGCAGCTATATCAACGTTCAAATGAAATCCTCATAGACGCAGCATAGCATTACAATTTCAAATAACTCCAGAACTGTATATCAGGTTGCAATTTTATTGAAAATATTTATTTTCAATAATAATTTTATTGAAAATCAGGATATATTGCAAGATTAAAGCTCTAATACCATTTCGAGATACATTTATTCCGCTATTTATTCTCAAAATGTATCGTTATATAAACCAATCATAGGAAGATATGCCATACATTTCAAGGCCATCATATAATTAGGGATCGTCACAGTAATTGCTAACAATTCAGCTTTGTCATAAATAATATTAATTTAGTTGCTAATAATTCAGCTTACGCAGTAATAATAATATGATTGCTGACAACTCAACTTGAGCTCCCTAGTTTCTTGGGCTTACGCATCTATCGGCCAAGAACGCCAGCTTCTCCCTTGAGATCGACGCCATGCTTTTCTGTCCGCCAGAAAGACCATTCCACTTAATTTACAACCCCTTCCCCCAAGACAAAAACTTTCCTCCTGGGGCCATACTTTCAAAATTCGCTAAGTGAACGTAAGTACTTACGCTCTATTTTCTTGTCTATGATTGGTGGATTTGGCTTGAAAGGCCGTCAATGATTGGCTGATGAACTTACGATCTCGTAACTTTTTTTGAAAGTATTGGCCCTGGTCAAGAGTAGCCTCAGCTCCTTTGATAAGCATCTTACTACAATTTCATTTTATCTGCGTAGCTCATTGAAAATTATGATGGGGAAATATAGCTACAAGTGTGACTGAAGTTGTTTTGTCGCTGCATTTATGAGGATAGGCCGCTCCGTTAAGCGGATGTTTAGCATCTGAAAATAGTATTTGATTTACCCTCTTGCCCATGGAGGATAAGTTCTAATGAATATCCCATTCAAGGACAACTTTTAAAATTAAATAAGAATCTTTGTCTACAATACAAAGAAGTTTGCCAGAATATATAAAAAATTTGTCATACATCGTTTCCGGATTTTACAGCGATTGTTTCGTAAACGACCACATTTAGTGCACAGCTCCTACAAAGAGGCCCACCATCAGAGGACGCTCGGAACCTTAGGCGCAAAAGCTTTGTCAGCGGCAGAGCATCAATCTACAATGCAAAACAGACTCCGGCAAGCAGGAGCCTCCTGAGTTCTGACTTTCTATTAAGTATAAACAGGGCATTACGGAGTCCAAGGTGCCTCTTACGGCGCCCAGCCTGAATATTACGCCGTCTCATTTGCAGATTGGAACTGCGATTGTCTAGCTTGAGATTGCGCATGCATTTGGAGGACGACCAGCAATGTTGCTACTGACTTCTGTTTTGGAATTTCATGCCTTCACTTCTCGTTTGACGCGATGCAAGAACGTATCTTTGCTTAACTGTCTCTGAAAGTAACATTTTTCAGGATTGTTCTGAATTTTATTAAGCTGTTGCCTTTGCGCCTAACATATTTACAACGAAGCGTGGTAGAATCATTTCCCTTTAATTTTTCGGAATTTTTTTCTTTTTCGTTTTTGATTTGGAATTACTGAGCAAGCCTAACAGATTCCACGTACCCATCAAGATAACTCTTAATCATGATTTAAAAGAAACACAGAGCGTCTTTCCTGTAGTTTTAAGCAAGTAGGCCTGAGGAGCGGCATCGGTATGCGGGCGCCGCCCCACGCCGGCGAAGTCAATTTAAGTTTACGTGTTTGTTCACGCCGGAGTTTGTTACATCGCGAGACAAACTCGCATTCTCAGCTCCAATTTTGCGTCACTCTCGTCAAGTCCTGGCATCGAAATAAAGCGCAGTCGAGCAACAAATGTGGTGCTCTGATTTTTCGCTCTCCCAGAGACTCTGATGACAGATGAAGATCAAGTGGTGGAGGCCTCTAAATTAGCTCTGCCATCTTTGACTGGGAATCGTTTTGAGGTCCGAGAGCCCGGCTGTTGCTTATTGAAATGTTAAAGCCGAAAACGAATTGCGCTGCCATGTGCGAACAATCTTCAAAATGCCCTCGAAAATTGGCATAGATATTTCGAGCTTTTCCGTAAGCCCTTCCTAGTTTGGCTAACTTCGAAATTTGTGGTAAATTTATTTCCCGGGACTTTTTCAAATATCAGAAATAATTTTGAGTACTTGTGTGCTCGCTTTCCAACACAGAAATTGGCTCGAAGTGATAAGTGTAAATAATTGTATGATTATTTTCTTCCAAGAGAATCCTTTTATTATTCTAAGTTTCTCGATTGGATCTCTAGCTGTGTTATCATCACCCAGTGAATGAAAATTTTTTCCAGAGTTATCTTTTCAGCGTAAAATAATGCAATGATTTATAATCCGATGACGTCGTCGGTGACAGGGAGAAACGCAACTCAGGCATGATCGAGTAGCCCTTATGTTTGTGTACCATCGGGCGGGTTTCTATTTATCGCTTATGTTGCGAAGGAAGCGTCCCTTGTGTCGTAATATCAATAGAAATGTGAAGGCGTATTATGAAGCCAGCGCTCTCGATCGCGGGGGTAATCGAGCAGAAAGAAAGTAAGCGGTGAAGGGAACTACAAACTCCAGTCAAAGGGTGAGTCCTTTACTACCCTTGCACTGCTGATGTCGTTGCTGATATTACTGTTTGTGATGCGTATATGCTGATGTTCATGTTGCTGTAGTTGTCCTTCTACCGAAACTGGGGCGGTTGATTTCCTGCTAATGATGCTACTGATGCGCGTGCTGATATTTCTCTTTTTGACGTAGTCTTGTTGCGGAAACTTGTGCTGTTGTTTTTACTGCCGATGGTGATGCTGATCAAAAGGCTAATTTTCTGGTTGCAATTTTCGTTAATTTGTGATTATGTTGACGCGATATAGTTTCTAGTGTTCAATATTGTTGATGGTAAATCTGGTGGTCCGTCCAAGTGTCTACTGTTAACATGGCTATTATTGTTGGGATGTTGTTGCTCTAGTTTCCGTTTATGCTTTTCCATGAATTCTTGCTGTCTATTGCCGTTTTCCTAACGTTTTAAATTTTATATTTAATGTTTCCAAAACTCATATATTGATACCATTTCGATGATTTAGAATGGATTCAGAGGCGACTGTTGACAAGTCCTCCAGTCACAGTAGGTAAACTGTTGAACACAAAGACTTGCCACTTGCCGACGTTGGTTTCCATGCCACCAGCATCTGTGGTGTCCGCTTCCGCAGAAACTGCTTCTCCATTGTAACGATATGGACCAGGCTGACCATTGGCCATCAATGAACTGTCAATGAAATCCCATGTCAAATCCCGCTGAAATCCCGCCTAATCCCAGTTGTGCTGAAATAATTTGCCCACAGTCTTAGATAATTTTCTTCGCTTACCCGGATTTGCGTCTTTGGAGCAGGATTTGCGTCTTACCCGGATTTGCGTCTTTTCCTATAATATTTCCGCTAGCTAGAGACTAAATACAGAAAGCATTTTTAACTTAATTTTCAATACTCTACACTAATAAGTTAATTTAGGAAGACTCAATTTCAGCCTTTGCATAATTGTACCAGATTACGAAACGAAAATGTTGGAATATTTATTTTATTTGAATAGTTATAGCATATTTAATAACGGAAAAGTTTTAAAAATTAATTCCTGGTTCCTACATGTGTTTTATAACGAGTATTAAATGAACTTTTCGAGTAAGGAAACCGTTACGGAAAAGAACGTAGATTGTAGAAATAGAAATATGACATTTAAATGAAATCTCGATTAAGAACGACGGTAACTAACAAGATGTAGAAACAGTAATGTGAAATGAGAGAGAAATCTTAATTAAAAAGAAGAGTAAGTGAACGGAACGTAGATGCCATGAAATGAGATTTAAGTTAAATTTCGATTAATAACTTTCGCTACTGAACAGGATGTAAAAGCAGTGATATAGGATGAGGAGTAAACTCTTAATAGGACACACTAGGCAACAGGTGTGACAGAGGCATAGCTGTTAGCACAGCACAATACCCCTGTTAGTGTCGCACCATTGCCCTACTCCCTCTTCTTTTAGACCTCTTCGCCCAGCAATAATGAAGTCATCTACTGACTTCTTTCTATTCTAGAAGGCGCTTTTTTCAAATTTTAGGTTTAATTCTAGTTTGAACTCATAAATAAGTTAAAATCGCTCTCGAATTATAAAACTGCTGCAAATTGTGTTTTTTAAATTAGGAATGGAACAGCTTCATAAAAATGGCTTCCCTGCTTTATTGAACAAGTCATTGTCATGTTATTCAAGGTTGATCAGATTTAAAAATAATAAATTAAGTAGCCACCAAAACCAATGCCTTGAGCGTACTTTATACAAGTCCTGGTAACCTTAGCAATTTGTTAATCAATCTTGTTAGCTAATTTGTTTTATGATTTCACAGTTAACTGTGTTGTATGAACATGAAATTTAACTCATGCATTTACAATCTAATAAGACTGGCAAAATTCATGTTATTAATATTATTAAAACTGGCAAATAATATAAAAAACCGCGTCTGCAAGGAACTATCAAAAAGTTGTGCATGATAACTCTTAATAATAATTAACATGAATTGCATCTATCAGTTTTTAATTTTATTTTTGTAAAATAAAAGACTCAGCCGTGCCTAAAGCGAGTACTAAAGACCAGTGAGTGCGCTCACTGAGCACCACACAAGCCTGATGATCAGTGCGCCATATGTTCGATGTTCGGTCATTTGGCGTCGTGTTCAGTGAGGCATGCTGACTTACGTCACGGCCATGCATATTCTCCTCAACATTTTATTCATAACACATGCGCAATAAACAATGATTTCATTAAAATTTTACGAACCGTTTTTCAAATAACTTCCTAATAATTTATAATCTAACAATTAAATTCGCTAAATAAAATTTATTCTATTGTTTTAATTTAGATGCTGGAATTGATGTAACTCCTCTTCTATTACCTACCAATATCTTAGTCAAATAATATATTGACTTTGGTATTGAACGCTGCAGTGTCGTCTCGGTTAGTATGGATTATGGCAGTTGGTTTGGTTGGCAATGGAATGCCGGTTCACGGCAGTATCACGGCAGTATCACGGCAGTATCACGGCAGTTTATTTAACTGACTGGCGCTGCAGTGTCGCAGTTTTGGTGTATTTTGACAGTTTGTTTGGTTGGCAAGGGTTGCAGTGCCTGAACACGGCAGAATAACTGCAAGATACTGATCGGCGCTGCAGTGTCGCAGCTATATATATTAGTTTGGTTGGCAATAGAGTATCTGAACACGGCAGTACCACAGCAGTTTATGTGCTGCTGGCCGGCGCTGGAATAAGAGTCCCAGTGAGGGTTTAGCGAATTAATAGAATCAATGTATTAGCTGCGGAGCCTCGCACAAATGTACTGCTCTCCCTAGAGACCTAAGCAGCGTAGGGAGGTGCTAAAGGAACCCCATTTCATGTCGTTGCTCCTTCTCCTGCCATCATGTTTCGCGGCTGTTGGTAATCCTGTTTAAACTCCTGTATACTCTTGTATTATTTTCAGTTGTTGAAACCATTCTCATCGTGTTTACAAGCTTCACCTACGATTTTTTTCATCCTGCTGAGAGGTCTTGGCTGTTTCTTTGAATGCTTTTATGTATGGTAAAATGTTGCCCTCTTCGTGCTATCGATGCTGCGTTTCGTGCGTCACAGTTTTTGTGAATATCGTATTTTTCCCCAGTCCTGCTTCTGCTCAATACCTATCATTAATCATTCAAATTCATTCTCTGCTTATTCATATTTTTGCCTCTGTCTTTCTCATTTATCGTTTTAAAATATAGTCTGCTTATCCATGATTTCTTTTACTTTTGTTTGAATATTCATCACTTGAATGATTTGTCTGGCTAAATATATCGATTATTATACAAAATACTTTGACGATGAAACCTGCAAATCTCCTTTATACAAAATTAAAATTCAGATACTCAGCCTACCGATCGAACTAAACAATCAGATATTTTTTAAGGAGAGTAACCGAAATATTTTCGATTCCATTTATTTGTAATTTTTTTAAATTTTGGCTAAATATGACACATCTGATGCTTGAAATTTGGCACAATCATCTTAAAATAAAATATGTCTACAAACGCATAATTGGGGTATTGCATTTATAACACGTATGTGAGTCATTTCGGTCCAACTTCTTGTAAATTATTTTCTGGTGATGCAGAAAATGGTATGTGGATCTGGAATAAATGGATCTGGTATAAATTACACATTTTAAATTTCAATACGCTGTGAGAGACTATAGTTTCATGATGAAAAGCTTTCAACCCACTATCAGCTTTCAATGATCAGAAGTTGTGACAGTTGCTAGAGTTCACTCAGTTTAACGAAGCCTACAACCGCTTTACTTACTCGGCGTTTTTCTTCAAAATTTAAAACTCAGCCGAGGCCTCACGCATTGCTGGTCCCTGAAAACTTCCATTCCAGCGAGGCGCTCTCATCTTTGCTAACTTCGGCAAAAGCTGAATTTGCCACAGATGTTTACTTCACGCAGGGCTTTTAAAATATCATCCTGGTTGTTGCTTCCAATTAAAATTCCACCTTGGAAGCTTTGACGTACATTATTTTTGTTTGAACCTCTTTTATATTTGCACCAAAAATTTATTTGGGCACTGCTATATTGATTCATGTTAACTCTCCAATTTTTTGTTTTATTTTTTATTTTTTTCCCCCTCTCCAATTTGGCCATAAATTCAAACACATTTTTCATCGTAAATTCTCAGGTAGAAGCTATAACTTTGTATTAGTTGGAAAAAAACATGCAAGTAACTGGGTTGTTAGTGTTAAGATGTATTGTTTGTGACTGTTTGTGCAACACCGTATTTTCACCGCACCCGTATCTCTTTATAGATATGCACAATAAATAACATGTATTTCGAATGCTTTAAGATGGCTTATACTTGTTGCACTTTTACACCTATATATTCTAGTGACGATCCCTAATTCTTTATTAAATAGAAATTTGTGAAATTAATCGTGAAGTATACGTGTAATATTCATTTCATGTTCGTGTCTTTAATAATATTATGTACGATAATAATCACTCGCTTGTGAATTACAATTTGCTACTTAATACTAATATTATAAATAAAGTATATTAAAAACTAGCCCCAATTTTAATTGATTTACAGTCTGCGCTCCTAACACAGAACATCGTAAATAATCTTACACTTGTGGTCGCAGAATCGTGCGCAACAAGGCTGCGGAGAACGCGAAACACATCATTCCGGGCACGCACTCGCCGGTCTCGCAAGCCACGTCCGTTATCAGCCATGCGACGTCAGCTGTACATGAGACGTCGCTGCAACGTACAGGATCCTACAGCATCAACGGAATACTGGGCATCCAGCAGCAACACACTGACCCCAACGGCAATATCAATAAGAGAAAACGTGAAGACAGCGGTGAGTACCAAAGATTTTTAATGATTGTCTCTGAAACTAGTGGGATTTAGTTATGATAGCCGCAAAGTAGCGGTCTAAGGCAGCGTGAGTATCATCGATTTTTAATAGTTGTCACTGAAACTAGTAGGATTTAGTTCTGATAGCCACGTAGCGGTCAAAGGCAGCGGTGAGTATCAAAGATTTTTAGTGGTTGTCTCTGAAACTAGTAGGATTTAGTTCTGATAGCCTCAAAGTTGCGGTCAAAGGCATCGGTGAGTACCGAAGATTTTTAAATGGTTGTCACTGAAACTAGTGGGATTTAGTTCTGATAGCCACAAAATATCGGTCAAAGACAGCAGTGAGTGCCAATGATTTATATGGCTGTCGCTGCATGGGAAGGATTTGGTTTACTTATGATAACATCAAAACAGAGGTCATAGACTGTGGTGAGTATCAAAACCAAAGCTCTTTTAATTCCTGCCACTGGAACAAAGTGAGGCTTAGTTCTAAAATTACTCCAAAATATGCGTACAACTACAGCAGTGAGTACGGTATGAATGATTTTATTGAGGTGCTTAAACTTTAGTGATCAACTTGTAACAAGTGCAAGAGGAGAGCGGTTACTCAGTGAGCGGTGACAAGTTGATAACTTCATATTTATGGTCTTTGATTCAGTTATATTTTCAATTTGATTTAGTTATACTTTACCACAAAATGCTGGCTCACCGGTATGCACGATAATGAAATTTACTTTACTCGATGTGAGTATAATAAATTAATATTCCTCATTCTGAAAAGTTGTGTTTCTAATAGTGTTCGTGAAATATGCATTTTCCGCCACGGGTCGTATCAAAATTCGAAAAATTTCTCTACAAAAGGGTTTCACGATTTTTCTGTTCTCGGTGTAAACAAATCTTCTTGTTTATAACGAGGGTAAGAATATTATTACCTTCTTATCAAGAATATTGCTATTTTCATTGCGGGAAAGAAAATCCCCTCATTTTTTGGAATTAAATCGACTTTTCATGAAAGAGCTGTGACATCAACATAAGCAGCTCACAAATGTTACAGAAACTATTACCTCTTTTTCACTGTAAAATTTTATCTTTTCTTCTAGCTCAATCTAATGACATTTCGTACCTGCACATAATGACGTTTCTTAAACCTGTTTCCCTTGCATTTGGATGCGATTCATTTATTTATTTTAATGCGTAGAAAATCACGGCCTCTAACCAGAACGTAATTCACGTATTTTTTTACCGAGAATAAGAAAATTAGCAAGAGTATCCTAGATACGCAGCGGAGGCCACGCGGGAGTTGACCAATGGCCGGACGCTGCGCAGGGCGAGCCGATATAATGCATCAGCTGACTCAGCACTTCTTCAATGGATTTTGTTAAGATGGCTTCTTGTGAAATTGAACATTTCAGGGTAGTCCCATGTGCAAAGTTTGCTAAACAGCTTGCGTTGTCCCTCCTTAATGCCTTTCTTGTTTGATGCTATCGAATCTAAGGATTCTTCTAGAGCAACAAAAAACTTTTATGTCTCTTAAAACCAGCACTCTATAAACCACTGATCGGAAACTCGGTTTCTTGTTAACAAACTAATGTTGCGATAATCATGAGAAAAAATTATTTCTATTACCTGGAATGATTTGAAGTCGAATTTCGATTAAATATCTTTTATACATAGAGCTTACCATGAAAGATTTATTCTCCAACTAAGTCTCAATTACACTAATACACAATAAAATGTGCACCAAATTTTACATGCTTTAATCGAAGCAACACTCAAGACGTCGCTGAGCCAAAGCACACGCCCAAGCCGCTTGTTCAGCAACAGCGATACGCGCCAAGATTGATGACGCCCGCGATTGCACGGACTCCATTGATTGAGAGCGCTCGTCGCAATCGTCTCAATCCCTAATTGCTCTCGTCTCCCTGAATTGCCGGCCTGAGTAGCGACGCTCCTTCTCCAGTCATCTCAAGCTTGCTGGCTCTTTCTTGCGCTTTATTCACTTAGCTTGGCTGAAAATTACTTGTCCCGAAGTACATGTTGAAGTTTTTTCCATCCATGTATTTCTTCCATCAAGATTTTTCTTCAATCCTGTTATTGCTTCTTCCAGATATAACTTCTTTCCTGTTATTCCTTCCATCCTCATATTTCTTCATCCTGGTATTAATTTATTCTTGTTAATCCCTCTGTCATAGTATTCATTCATACTGTTATTAATTCCTTCGTTTTATTAATTCTATTCTGCTATTCCTACGAATCTGATATTCCTACCACCCTTCAATTCTTCCATCTGTATATTCTTTACATTTTATATTCCTTTCATCATATTATCTTTCATAACTATCAGAACTAAAATTATAATTTATAGACAATTTGAATTCGATTTTCGTCCTTTCTCTGTAATAACGTTATAGTTATTCCATAATTAACTAATACGAATACTAATGACTGGCAAAAAATATCATTGTAATTTGTTATAAATTCATATTACCTTTCGCGTCATTTAAAACGGATCTCAAGATCGTCCAAAGAATCAAAATATATCACTTATTGCAATAATTACTAATCATTTCACCAATTAACCGTACTAAATGCATTCTAGTACATATTGTGATCTCGCCTTTTGATACCGCAGCGCGATATCTCCTCTCTAGATTGGCTGAAAAACATTACAAAGAAAACCGAATTTCTGTAATTCATACATCTCAAGACTTCCTCCTCCTACTCAGCTTGAAGCTTCTGACAACAGTCTGACAGCTTGAAACCAACTCCAAGACCTGATATGTTATCTACAGATATAACGTCAACTGAGTGTCAACTGAGATAACGTAGGATAGTATATGATACTCTGCACGACCTCTCATATTGAGCTTTCAGGTGTCAACAGAGTAAACGGAAGTGAAAACATGAGATTCCCTAAACGATTTATCCTATTGAGCTCAGATATCAACAGAGGTACTTCGTATCGGCCTAATGGGGACCATCTTGTTTCCGTGGCCTAGGCAAACGACTCCCATGCGGACACGCGCGGCATGCTTGGGCTGCTAGGCGCTTCTTATGCGCTAAAGCCCCAATTGCCGCTAAGCAAAGGTCCCTAAAAACCTTCAATCTCATCTGCGTGAGAGCTGATGGCGTCACTCAAAGCAAATCCCTCAACACTCTTGATCTTGGAACAGTTTATGCTGTGGTTATTTCCCCGTGACTAGCCTTACTTTGAATTGTTAACGTCATGACAGCCTGATGCAAAATACCTAGTGTAATGAATAACTATTTTGATTTGCTAAACTTATATTTTCAGCTCCTAATTCTCACGGTTTTTGCACCAAAGTTTCTAATTATTTCTATTAATGTTATTAGAAGCATTCTTAAGGCATATTAAAATATTTTCCTTCATACTATTCAGGTTAGCAAAATTTCGCTAAACAAATCAATTCTCAATCAATCAATTATCAAAGCAAATCATTAGAGCTTATTTTAAGTTCCTCCTAATGTCTATTTCTTTTCTTGTCGCTCTTTACCGTTAACCACTAGTATTTTTCAATTGGTATACTTCTAAAATATTCTTTCTTCTTTGTATTTGTTTTTTTTAATTGTTCACTCATTTCATTTTGAAAATTAAATCGTAAACAATGAAGAAAAGTAAATGGAATATTAGGAGCAATATACGTAGACTTTCATATTTGGCAATAATTTTTACGACTTCCTCCAGTAGAATAGATAATATTTCTTTCAATTCAAATTTTTAAGCTTGATTCTTCCACATTCCACATGGGAATACTTCTTCTTGTTCATGAAAGAATTTACACTCTCGACAATAATCAATTTACGATGATCAAATAATAAACACATGAATTTTAGTTAGCTTTGATTTTTAACTTATTGGTGATATATTAAAGCATAAATTACGACATATTTCTTCGGTTAAAGTTCAATATTCATAATCATAAAAATGAAGATAGTATTCACAACAACTATATGCGAGTAGGTTATACTTGGCCATGTATGGAGGAAAGAGTCCTCCATGGTCATTAATGAAGGTAGGAGTGGATTCTCTATGGACATTTAAGGGGAAAAGTCCTCCCTGGCCATTAATGGAGGTAGGAATGGGCCCACTATGGCATTTTTAAGTGATGGAATGGTATCATTAATGGTATCATGGTTAGTAGATAGTATTGATATCAATACTACATATCATATCAATATCATATCCCAGTACCATATCATATCACCATGATATCATTAATGGAGGTAGGAATGGGCCCACTATGGCATTTTTAAGAGGTTTGAGTGGGCCTGCAATGACTTATGTTAAATAATGAGCGAGTCAACAATAGACATTTATGGAAATAGAAGTGGATTCAAAATGACCATTTATGAAGGTGGAAGTGGATCCAAAATGATCATTATGGAGGTGGAAGTTGATCCTCCATAGCCATTTATGGAGCCAGACGTGGGTCGACCATAGCCATTTATGGAGGTAGGAATGAGTCGGCTATGGCCATTTAGAGCTCACTGTGCCTCCCTCACAATCAGATCGACATTAACTGCTCATTATTTGGTCCCCTTTATTTCGCTGTCATCGCTCCATCGATCGCAACGTATGCTTCGTCCGGTCCTTTTGTGGGACACTCCTGGAGCTGCAGTCGGGACCGCGTCCCTTGCTTGCCACCTTAGAGGGGACGATCAGGCCCTTCAGACCGGCCAATAAAGGAAAAAATTAGTTGAATGGAAATAAAATTGAAAATAAACACAGAGGAAATTGCATGGAATTTAAAAAAAAATACAAATAAATGCGTTAATTTTAATTAATGTGGATTGAATGGAAAGAAAATTTAGACGGTAGGATCAAATTTAAAAATGCTTCAAGACATCAGCAAATTAAAACTTATAGCAATTTTCATGTATTCGAATACATGCATATAATATTGAGGGTAAAAAACTTTAACTTGACTCCCAAGTCACTGTAATTCTTCTCAACCTAATTCTTCGCAGCCTATTCCATTTCATTATTCGGATTTATTCATCAATTCGACTCTTCACGAAATAAATTGCCAAAAGTTGGGAAAATTGAGCAATAGAATTTTAAAATTCAGTGAATTTCTTGACCTATCCTACCAACGATCTTATTAGGTCTTTATGATCTTGAAAAACAGTCAGAATATAAGATGACGTGTCCGAGAAAGACACAATTTTCTTTTTTAGCGCCTTGTTTTATGGTTCCGTACAAAGCATCAGTTCCGCTGGTGCTGTTTTTATTTCTCTAGCGTTTCCTACGTCGCTTTTTATAGTTTCCTCCAACGCTTCCGTTATCGATGAAGTCCGCGTTTTGGAGCCACGACACCAGACGTGGCCGCCGCCTTCCTCTGAATCGCTGTAGGCAGGACATACCTAACTTCCATTGCTTCCTTTGCTGCGGTAACGACGGCAGAGTATGAGAGAAATATCCCACTACTGGCGGGATATGTTTGAAATATACCACAGTTGTCGGAATCTGTTGGAAGTATCCCTCACCTGTAGGATATGAGCAAAATATCCCGCAGGTGGTGAGATCTGAACAAATATCCCACAGCTAGAGAAACAGTATTTTCATAGCAGAGCGTGACTCGCTGAGCTTAGAGTAGTAGCTGTTTCGGTGCCACTCACCTCCCTTAGGGGCGACCAAACAAAGACTCCCCTCAATCTCGATGTCTCTACAAGCGTTACCTCATTGCCACTTCCTTTGCTTTGTACGTGCAGAAGCGCGTCGACTACTAGTGCCACGTACATAGTCTTAACTGCCTTCTAATATACATACAGCCTTATCTCCTATCCATATCTGCCCTATCTTTATACATGTAGCGCACGCCTATTAGTGGCACGTAATTCGCGTAGCTGCCCTGTAAAACATACAGCGCAATCTGCTATCATTATCTGCTTTATCCTTTATACGTTGGTGCGGCGACAAAGCGTGGAGCGTACACCGTTTAAACTGTCGTCTTATAAATACTGCCCTATTTGCTATCAGTATATGCCGTATTCATGACACATGTTGCAGGACTACCCTAAGCAGTTACTCCCTCTTCACCATCCTGTGATGCATACAGCTCTATCTGTTGTTCCTACATACTGCAATCTCATGCACATAAACCAAAACACTATTCTTTATAAAGTAAATCTCTCATTATTTTAATTCTAATACTCTTTTCAATTGGCCAAGTTTTCATGTCCTTACTTAAACGGATCTGGTCACGAATTTTTAGTATGTAGATCTCCAAACTTCTACATTATCATCAGCCATCTCAACGACTAATTTCACAAAACATATTCATGATGTCAAAGAGATGACAAGTATCGCAAATTTTGCAAAATTTCATATATTAATTTCAAACTGTGTGTAAATACAATTACATATTTTTTGCATACGACTAACTTCGTGGTGACAGTTCAAAGAAGCCGTAGACTCTTAGAAACATCCATTTTTTTTAAAACAAGGACTAGAGAACCACAATCTAAAGTTTTGACTGACCGACAGCGATGGACTTCTAATCAGAGTGAGTATAACTGATGTTCATTTTTGTTTGTTAAACTAAATTAAATCACTAGTCTCTTCGTTAAAGTTCCGTCCACTTTACGAGCCGGGATTTGGCCATCTTTTATAGGCCAAGAAAGTATTTTGGAATAAAAGAAAGACCCAAAGAGGAAGAAACCAAAGCCAAAAGGGACTCCGGGCCCCGCACCGCTGTCACAACTTTTTATTACATCGCGACCGAGGGATGATTTCTTACCCCGGCCTTCCCTCACCGCTCGAATATATTAACGTTTGCTGTCCACCAGAGATGTCCGTTGTGGACACAAGATTCGGCGAGTCTTCCATCTATCGCCTCTTTCAGCACTTTGTTCCACCAGAGATGTCCGCTGTGGACACAAGATTCGGCGAGTTCGTGGCCGCCGCCTTCCTCTGAATCGCTGTAGGCAGGACATACCTAACTTCCATTGCTTCCTTAGCTGCGGTAACGACGGCAGAATATGAGAGAAATATCCCACTACTTGCGGGATATTAGAAATATTGCACAGCGGCGGAGTATGAGAGAAATATCCCACTACTTGCGGGATATGTTTGATATATTGCACAGCGCTGCAGGGATACGGTAGAAATATCCCACTACTTGCGGGATATGTTAGAAATATTGCAGAGCGCCGGAGGGATACGGTAGAAATATCCCATTACTTGCGGGATATGTTAGAAATATTGCACAGCGCCGGAGGGATACGGTAGAACTATCGCACAGCTGGTGAGATATGTTAAAAATATAACACAGTTGTCGGAATCTGTTGGAAGTATCCCTCACCTGTACGATATGAGCAAAATATCCCTCAGGTGGTGAGATCTGAGCAAAATATCCCACAGCTAGAGAAACAGTATTTTCATAGCAGAGCGTGACTCGTTGAGCTCAGCGTAACTGAATAATAGCCGTTTCGGTGCCACTCACCTCCCATAGGGGCGAGCAAACAAAGACTCCCCTCAATCTCGATGTCTCTACAAGCGTTACCTCATTGCCACTTCCTTTGCTTTGTACGTGCAGTACCGCGGCGACTACAAGTGCCACGTACATAGTCTTAACTGCCTTCTAATATACATACAGCCCTATCTGCTATCCTTATCTGCAATAGGGGTACTGCAATCTAATGCATATAAACCAAAACACTATTCTTTATTAAGTAAAACTCTCATTATTTTAATTCTAATACTCTTTTCAATTGGCCAAGTTTTCATGTCCGTACTTAAACGGCTCTGGTCACGAATTTTTAGTATGTAGATCTCCAAACTTCTACATTATCATCAGCCATCTCAACGACTATTTTCACAATACATATTCATGATGTCAGAGATCTGTCAAGTATCCCAAATTTTTTGCAAGATTTCATAGATTAATTTCAAATTGTGTGTATATACAATTACATATTTTTTGCATATGACTTACTTCGTGGTGACAGTCAAAAAAGCCGTAGACTCTTAGAACAATCCATTTTTGAAAACAAGGACTAGAGAACCACAATCTAATGTTTTTACCGACTGACAGCGATGGACTTCTAATCAGAGTGAGTATAACTGATGTTCATTTTTGTTTGTTAAACTAAATTAAGTCACTAGTCTCTTCGTTAAAGTTCCGTCCACTTTACGAGCCGGGATTTGGCCATCTTTGATAGGCCAAGAAAGTATTTTAGAATAAAAGAAGGACCCAAAGAGGAAGAAACCAAAGCCAAAAGGGAGTCCGGACCCCGCACCGCTGTCACAACTTTTTATTGCATCGCGACCGAGGGATGATTTCTTACCCCGGCCTTCCCTCACCGCTCGAATATATTAACGTTTGCTGTCCACCAGAGATGTCCGCTGTGGACACAAGATTCGGCGAGTCTTCCATCTATCGCCTCTTTCAGCACTTTGTTCCACCAGAGATGTCCGTTGTGGAGTGGACACAAGATTCGGCGAGTCTTCCATCTATCGCCTCTTTCAGCACTTTGTTCCACCAGAGATATCCGTTGTGGACACAAGATTCGGCGAGTCTTCCATCTATCGCCTCTTTCAGCTCTTTGTATCTCTTCAAACAGAAATATTCAGAGTTCAAAAGTTTAGTGCGCGCTGTTGACACAAAATTGGGCGAGCTATCTGAGTATCGGTATATTATAAACTTCGCCAATTATCAATGTTTTTCAATAATTTAATACACTTCATGGCAATGCAAACTATGCAGATGGACATCACATGTGCTTTTCACCTTCTTCTCTGTATCGTATGGGGTTAAAACATCTGCATTTAATGCATAATAATGGGATAAACTTTTAAGGTATCAACAAACTGGTCGATGGCCGAAGAGCAAAATTAACCTGTGTAAATAACATTGGATAAAGTCAAATTTTATTATTGTTTATGTTATAATAAATAAAATAGTATGTTCCATTCCATTCTCTTCCAGATTCCAAGACAAGAAGTTTAGCAACTGATTACTGATATTAAAGGTTTGAATATGTTACTTGAATTTTATTTTCTTTCTGAGCAGACGAGCACCGGGAGCTAAATGGACACTCGGAGGAAGATCTGAAGAGGCAGCGAACTCAATATACTACCGATCCCCTCTACACAAATGTAAGAACCTGAAACCTCATATCCAATGATCCATGCAGGAAATTATTTGGTCTTGGTTTTGATATCAGCACGATTTATTTTAAATGTTAAAATAATATGCTTCATATATTGGTATGTCAAAAAATTCCAAATTTATGACCGCTCCATCGAGAAATGTTCTTATCTGAGACACTTGAAATATCTCCCTCATAATTTTTACGAGGGACACTTACTCGAGAAATGGTGTAATTTTTTATTCGGTTTTCGCTAGTAACTAGCCAAATGACTCATAAAATTGACGGCTAGTATCCCATAAAGCCCTCCAAAACATCAGTCAATCCGTCCACTCTGCAAGGATGTCTCGTCACGGTGGAATGTTGCTGTCGTAACGATGCTGTTCCCCGATGTCCAGAAACTTTGGCTCAGCACAAAAAAGCACAAATGGACAATTTATGAAAATTAGTTTCTTCGACGAATGTCGTGCACATATATTGCGTAGGGTACTTCATAATTCCATCGGTCACAACTGGCCAAGCTTGAGATTGACTCAGTCCAATGGGGGAGCTCCTAACTTCACGTTAGGACAGCCATGATCGCCGTGGCAGAGGGGGATTTCCTTAGACATGATCGCCAATGACGTGGGGTTTTCCCTCAAGTTTGGTCAGCACAACCAGCCAATCACATGCTTTATTACCTGATTGCAGATCCCAAGAACAGCTTTGATGTTTGTCCCTTTCGCTGCCTCCGACAATTCATCACAAAGACATGAGACGTTTTATGCGCTCTTTTTTATAGGGCCGTTCATTTCTAACCTTATATAATACGGAGCAAATTTTTTGGTTTCCAAATATTGAAGAAAAACACAAAATGAGTTCTTGGTGACAATTCTAGCTCTCAATTCCAGTAAAAATAATTTAAACAAAGCGTTCATGCCTCTATTCAATAGATAACCTGTATATGTGTGTTTTTTTGTCTGTATATGTATAAAGGGCTTCATTTAAGTACATAATTAATTAATGAAATTTGTTTTCTCTAACCAGATGCTGTGGTCAAAACAGTGGTCCTCCCTAAAATCTGACGACAATTCTAAAGCCATATTGCCTGACTTAGGGTCTGCAGTCCCGGGAGCTGTTTCTCCTTATAGGTGAGTAGCGGGGGTGACATCAAAGGAAGTTTATGAATACTTGTTGAAAATTTAAATTCCGCCGTCCGAAACTGTAAATCGAATGAAGAACTCAATTTTGTTGGAAGCTGAATTGAGTAAGCTGTTTTTGGAAGCTACGACAAATTTTTTGGTGGCTCTAATAATGATATAGCTTGGTTTCTTGGTTTCTTCCCGTTTCCTACAAAATTCTACCTGATATCGAGCTATTCTGAGGAAGCTTTACCAAGAAATTTATTCGTATTTTTGTTATTTAATTCATTTACAGCGCACAAACACTGTCTCTTCATAAGAAGGCATCTCATCCGAAACTTTTTCAATTATCCCAGAATTTTTCTTAATAATCTTTCAATTTTGGGGAGCTTTTGTCACGATTCAAATAAAGAGACAAATCAACTCATTTAAATCAACAAATGAATTACACTTTGAAATAAGAATTATATTTTTGCAACGAAATCAAATTTAAAGACGGTGTCAACTTTATACAGTGAATTTTCCCTTTACGAAAAATAGATAAAAACATTTCCTAAGTTGATGAATCGACTCCTCGTGCAGCGCGGTGCAATCTTTCGTTGACCACAACAGCAGCTTTGTGCCGTCCGTAGCTGTGTCAGGTAGTACGACCGATGCTCTATACGACAGCATGGCGATGGGTCACCCTACGTCCAACCACGTCTACACACCTCCGCTCCCCACCTCTTTAGGTGAGAACTTTTCTTCCACCGATTCATTCTCTTCAATTAGGTGAGAACCTTTCTTCCACCGATTCATTCTCTTCAACGGATCACTTCTTAACCAACTCGAGAATCATTTTTCCCTTTCAACCTTCAGCGCAGCTTTTCTACCTTATCTATTCTCTGCCACCTCTTTAGGTGAGAACCTTTCTTCCACCGATTCATTCTCTTCAATTAGGTGAGAACCTTTCTTCCACCGACTCATTCTCTTCAATTAGGTGAGAACCTTTCTTCCACCGACTCATTCTCTTCAATTAGGTGAGAACCTTTCTTCCACCGATTCATTCTCTTCAATTAGGTGAGAACCTTTCTTTCACCGATTCATTCTCTTCAAACGATCTCTTCTTAACCAACTCGAGAATCATTTTTCCCTTTCAACCTTCAGCGCAGCTTTTCTACCTTAGTTATTCACTGTAAATTCTTTTCATGACGATCGGTTTTATTGTTTTTCGTATCCTGGTTGTCATGCCTTCTTTTTATAGATCAAACTTCCTGATTTAAGGTCTTCATTTATAGAGTTTCAGTATAGATGCACCGGCCAAATCAAATGCAAACGGCTCATCCTCATTTATCACGCTAGACCTTTTCGTGCTTCTTTCATTTTTTTTCTATACATTCATTATTGTTCTCATCTTAGTTATTCATCTTTATTTTCGTGCCACAAAGCTCATTGGCATTCAATACCATTCCTGTACATTTCTTCCCTCACTATTCTAAGTTTTCTCCAACTATGTCAACTCACCAGAAAATCCACTTACAGAAATTTTCCCTAAGTTACTAAACTATAATACTCAAGTCTTCAAAGGTGAGTTTGAAAACATTTTGTTAATTAGCGCTTATTCCAGCTTGAAATGCTCTCCATTGTAATCATAATGTCATTGGCTTGTAGTAAATCTGCTAGAGAATGTTTTGTTCAGTTAGTCAACGTTTTGTATTTCTTGTCTGTCTGTAACTCTCTCGTAATTGAGAAAAGCAGTAGCTTTGCAAAACCATGTTATGTGTTGGTTAGTAATATTGGAACATTTCCATGCTTGCTTTACTGCAGAAACCCTGTTGAGTAGACCCTTTCTTGTCAGCATGTCAGTAAATTTAACCCCTTTTCATTTTAAATTGTAATACATCCCCGTAGTATGAGGACTGATGTAACTCATAGTGTGTGCAATGTTTACATAATTATATGAACAAAACCAACTTAACAAGCAAAAACTCCGCAAACTTCCTCAAAAGTGTAATTTTTTATTCGAAAATAACATTTATTTCTGGCCGGGCTATATTTTTCCCAATTATGTGAAAAATTCAAATTTAAGCTGCAGTATAATATTCATTTTGCGGCCAAATTTATATCAAAACGTAGGTCGATTTTTTGTGAGAATATATTTGTTTTTAAATCATCCGTTTTAAGCGATTCTAAGTTTAAATATAATTCTCTTACGCCCTGCATGACTTTTACAACTCATTGAACAAAATAAGGTACCGAATTCTAGAACGAACACTGATGGTCCGCTATTTCAAATCCTGCTATCAGTGGCGAGTATTCGAGTCCCCTTATAATCAACTTCTTCGAACATTGACATTCTTCGGCGGTAAACGAGTCTAAATTTTACACACCTTAACCCTTCGTCTGAATGCCAGCGGTTTGGATACGACTAGTAGTAAAGATGGTTTGTGTATCCGTACGCTAATATTTTATTCACAAATAGTGATCGAGCGCCGATGATTTGAGCATAATTTTTGGATTAATTCACAAAAAAGGATTTAAGTCTAAATTTTACACACCTTAACCCTTCGTCTGAATGCCAGCGGTTTGGATACGACTAGTAGTGAATATGGTTTGTGTATCCGTACGCTAATATTTTATTCACAAATAGTGATCGAGCGCCGATGATTTGAGCATAATTTTTGGATTAATTCACAAAAAGTGATCTTGCACGAGCAATTCATTCATATTATTTAATTCACAAATCATGATCGGGCGCCAATGATATGAGCATAATTATTCGTGGGGTTTCGGGAGCAAATGTCAGCTTACACGCTCTGGTCCCCCATTATAGGTGGCGTGGCAGGGTTGGCTCCCCTTAGCCCCATCTCCATGCAAGATGTTAAGCCTGTCCTAACCTCACCTCCTCAATTGGATTCAGCTGCTTCTGCACACGTGCATTATCAGCAAGGTAACCTGCTCTGTCTGGCTAACCTATAAATCAACTTTCTAACTTGTTGACATTATAAGCAAAGTAACCTGCTCCGGCAAACCTGAAGGACACATTTAAAAACTTATCTACAAAATAAGCAAGGTAACCTGCTCTGGCTAACCCGTATAGCCCACTATCAAAATTGCCACCCTATCAGGCAAGATAAGCAACCATTATATGCACTATATTCATTGACTCATCCACCATGCAATACGGAATATATATCGAAGAAGAAATTATTATTCAGAAAGCACTATGCACTCTTGTATTTACAATTTAGCGTACACAAAAAGCCCGTCCTTTTTATACCACGAAACAAAATCTTCGCAATTTCGTGGTTTTCGCGATTCCTTCAGCAGTTCAATGTCTAAAAATGATATTTTTGCATGAAATAATTGCTTATTGATTGTTATTTCAAACCAGAAAATCAGCAGAACGTCAAAATTTTATAGATTGATCTTACTTTAACCGCCACTCAAAGTATATGCTGCTATGTATTCCTAATTTGTAGCATTCCGTAAAACTTATTACAATTTTATATTATGTTCACAATAAGAATTGACAATAGCTTTGCATGCTCATTCATGCACTTGCAAAATTCTTGTGCGATATTTCGTCGTCATTGCTAGACTGTCGTCTTCAGCAAGTGCCAATACATTTTTCCCTTAGAACGCCAAAGAAGTCTCTGTGTGGAAGCCTTTATGGCATGTAGCTGTTAGAGGATAGCGTTGGTATCTTGAGACAGCTCGGCTCCTCAACAATGGAGCATTTTACAGTCTGGCTGGCGTATTCACGCCGGATATTTTATCGGTAGTTCGCTCTCATGAAAAGACGGTTTTCATGAGCATCTTGATTTATCCAAGCAAGTGTATCTGGCGGCCGTGTTTTCTAAAGCAGCCACAATGGAGAGCTCGACTCATTGTTCTGATGGGACGAGGCCTTCTTGCTCCAACAAAATTAACTTCAACCTACAATTTTTTCCCCTCGCCGATTTATTCCTCCAAGAAAATTCTCAGCATCGTAGTTCTCCAGAAGCCGTTTTTGTGTTACTCATAAACAATGACGAAGATAATTAATAAAAAAAATAAGTAATGTTGTTTAAGTTGGTTAAGTTCTATTAGCCGTAGAATGATTCATTTAAGTAAATGCTTGATCATAGAGCAAAGTAAGTGCATGGCTTAGAGAGCTACCCCTTCACTATCGTAGTGTAATTCATTGTTCTCAGTAATTCCAATCCACCTGCTAGTTTTGCACTGTTGACGAATGCTACTTTTGTCACCCCATGTCGTGCCGGCACCATGACTGCACATCGATGCACCATGCACCTGCTTGTGTTCTTCTACGATGATAAAATAAACTTAAGGTAATCACTTACTCGTGCACATAAGGGTACGTACAAATGTCCAAACCGCAAAATTGGTAGTAATTCTAGCGTTACTTTCATGTGATCTAGCTTCTACATCATTCCTAGATTAATTTTGCATATCAGGGTAATATAGCAAGAAAATGTTTTAGCCAAGGCCGTTTCCCGCCCTTTTCTTGGCCGTTAGTTCGTCAGTAAGAGCGTCTCCGCCAACTGCCGCTCTGCTCCCTAGCACTAGTCTCCCATTGGCTGCTGAGCTCTTGCAGCTCCCTCTGCTTCGTATCATCACGCGCAGCGAATTTCTTTTATATGCTATCCAAACGGCTCTGCCAGAATATCATTTTATTAAGTTCTCTAAGGAGTCCTCTGTGACTAAGCTCGTTGCTTGCTCAGGCAGCCTCTATCAATGGCAAGGCTATTATTTGCCGAACATCAAATTGTGGTAAAAAATAAACAATGCTTTAATTTCCCAACCCTGTTATCAATTTCCCAATTGTCGCCCTGGTTATAAGTAATAAATTCTCAACTTTGCTATCAAATAGTGTTTTGGACATTTGTGTCGTTCGCACACCTTATATGCAAGAATAATTGACACTTTTTAAAGTCCAGAATGCCAAACTTCACAGATTATTAAGCCACATAACATCTCAAGGAATCGCTAGAATATTTTAGCTGGGTTGAAAAATGAGTTCAGTCATAATTTCATTGATGAATATCAGAATTGGAATTTGTCGCAATATATCTTAACAGTTTTGTAATGAATCTCTACGAACTATACCTAAGTATTCTCAAATTTACTCGTGTCTCTCAAAAAACGAAAAGACTAAAGCACCAACTTTAGTTTCCAACAAAATTTTTTCCATGAAGATAACGGGATAAATACGAATTGAGGTTGCTTTTCTCTTGTGAACTCTAGCAAAGCGCAGCTGAGGGCTACCTCTTAGATTGTTATGTGGCTGCGGTAAGCTGTGAAGTGTGATCGTTTGACGTGCTTGGGAGGCCTACAGTTTCTGTTCTCGTATCCCCTCAGGCCTCACAAGCGATGGCAACAATAATGCCTTGGCTTCTAATAACAATATGAGGAGTGGCACCTCAACTCCCCCTTTGAGCACTCCTCCTCCCCACACCCCTTACGCTGCACAGTCTGTCTCCCCAAATCCTAGTTTGCCCCATCAACTTTCACCATACGAACAACTTCCTCTCTCACCTCAAGAACATCATCAGCACGGCCTTAGCCAACATCATCAAAGTAGTCTTCACCATCATGGCCAACATCATCACTCACATCAAAATGTTCACCATGATCCCACACCTCACCATCACCATCATCAGCAACAACACCAACATCATCACCATCACCAGTTATCACCCCCCATCTGCCACCCGCACGGTCGGTCCGCTCAACATGACTCGAGGCTGTCCGAAGTCAGCTTATCTGACTCGGGCTACCTGGGGGTTAGTGTTACTCCCCTGGACCCATCACACATTTTGGCCCCTTGCTCGTCCCCACTAAAGGCCGACACACCTTGTTCCTCTTCATCCTCGATCCTCACTCTGCTTCAACCCACCTCTACCAACTCCCTGTCACAAGCATCCCCCACAAACACCTTCAGTTTCGCACAGCCTCCCACCAATGCGACTTCTCAAGGCTCTATGGAAGCACCATTCTCTCCGTTGCCGCACTTCTCAGGTAGGTGTTGCACTGCACTGTTAGAAATCAGTGGCCGAATGTTATTCAGTGAATATCAGCCAAGGTTTTTCGCATTCGTGCTAATTGCATCTTTTGCTAATCTCAATTAATTGTGTGACTTGTCTGATAGTATTTTAATTCCCTTAAGGTTCATCTTTTTGAATTCATGTAAATTTTTCGCTTCAGTTCTCCTAGTACGTTTCTTCAGAAATAGGTTCATTTGTTTCAGAATAAATAGTTTCGACCTCAAACTCAGTTCATCGACGTGTGAAATTTTGTCCTCTTTCGGTAACCGCAACCGAAAATCGAGGACCTAATTTTCACTTTGTTTCTGCTCGGGTCCGAATATTCAGAGATCTTCAATAATCTACTTATTACAACCATTTCATTACCTCCCAGGTTCATTCAACTTGGTTAAATTTTTTATTCTAACAAGAAGGATTGTGTTTGTGCATTCCTAAAGTAATATTATTATTTATCACATTTACTGCAACAGTTCCCTAAGGCTATACTTCAGCTTCTGTCTAGAATCTAGATTTTGTCTCCAGTATCACCCTGTTACGGCATGCGCACTCTTATAGTCTCTTTTTAAGTAGTTTCTGTTTAATTGTCGTTCTGGATTCATGTTTTGTGATAGATGTTACGTAGTTATTCGATGTAAGCAAAATTCTTGTTGAACTATCGCATTTATTCTCGAGCTCAGTTCTACTTGCCATCAAAGTTCAGTGTCTGGAGATGCTGAGAGTAAGTACGAGTATGCATCAAAGCAACGGAAAAACAATAATGTCACCCTACGAGTAACGTGCACCACAACGAACAATACATTACTTGAGAGAGGTGTATCAAAATTTTGTAGTAAGTGATCGGTCGTATGATTCAAATTTTGTCACAAAACTTGCTAATGATATTTATATTCTATTTAAAATTTCACTCTCAGTCATCAACATGCCTTGGTATCAAATAACACGATATTGCACAAAAAATCTAATATTCAAGATTTATTGGAAGTTATTGGATGTTTTCAAAATTTTCAATCTGAAATTCTTCCACTTCTTATTGTTTTCGTAATTGGCGCTTTTTATATCATTTCACACATTAATTTCAATGACTAATACGTATTTATAACAAGTGATCACCTTCCCAATAACGAAGACGAACACGGGCCTTTTCAACAATCTCCTTCTAACCATCTTGACTCTCCCTCGCCTTCTCATCCCAGAGCCAGAGTCACTTACGTTTTTTTACAGCTACCCTGAAGTTCATCAGGTCGAGAGGAGCGAAGCAGCTCTTCAGTTTAATAGAACTTTGCTCCTGTTGGGTTTTTCTTAAGGGTTATTTTTAGCGCAGCCACTTCCCTGGTCAGACTGTATAACGTACGGTTCGACTCAATGCTCTCACATCGCGAAGAACTAGGAGTATTAACCCACACATCCCTTTGAGCTACCATGTATCATTTCCCTTCGGGAAGTGCTATGAGGCACGATGTAATGATTCGTTCATTTTAATAAATTCTCAGGCCGTTTGACTCAACCCTGCAAAGTGTACATACACCTCAAATTTCTCAACTGATTGCTCCAACAGTGCAGTCATCAACTTGTATGTAATTTTACTTCACTAAAATCTCGTCGCTCATCGGTGTTGGGCTGTGGCTTACAAAACTAATAATGCGTCATTTTTAATTTCCCCATAATTTAAATCTGTTTAGATTAATTGTTTCGTGTTTTCATGCGCGGCTTATCAATAATACTGATTCATCCATATCAGGTACGGCCAGCGTGGGGGCCTCAATGACAGACTACAGTGCCTACACCTCACCGTATACCCAAGCATACGCCACAGGCTACCCCGCCTACGGTTACGGTTCAAGCGGTCTGCTTAGTAAGTAACCGTGAGTATTGATATCTAGCGGATCTGCTACTGGTCACGGGATCTCTGGGGTTTCTGCAAGGAATGGCAACACTGCACACCATAGCATATAGTTCGGTCTCATGGCCGCCACTCTATATGGCACTCCTCTATCTGCTGCTCTTCATGTTTTGGTTTTAAACCTTTAGCTTTTCATGGACGTCTACCTGTCAGAAGACTCCGATGATGAGTCTATGATTTATGAAAAGTATGATCACCTTTGAACGAAAGCATTTCCGCTCATTGCTTGACAGGTTATCGTCAAGCATAAACCGCTTACTTCACATTAAAATTGGTCATCTTTTGTGCCACGAAACTTTTCCGTAAACAGTCTCCATCGTAACCTGATGTCTGAACCCCCTCCCCCCTCATTAATTAATGTGTGTTCTTGATCGAGAAGCACCGTCCAGTACATAAAGGAAACGAAAAAACTCACCTGTGACATGGTGGCCCAGTGGTTAAAGTTCAGAGTATGCAGGATTGGAGCAGAAAGGTGCAGGTTCGATCTCTTTTTACCCCGGTTTCTGGTCAAAATTGGTGAAGAGGACGGGCGGTACAGCAAAGCAAAATAGGAGCAGTGAGTTGCGCGTTTGAGACCACAACAAGCTGTGAATGTTCCGCAATGTTAAGAATCGGCGACATGCATACGGCCAAATATACGCTGAGACCGCTTATATATATTATAACTCATAGTTGGGACGAAACTCCATGGTTTTCATGTCTGCTATGGGTGCTTTTTGGGTAGAAGAAAGGGACTAAGTTCCATTCCTTCTCTTACACGAGGTGTCTTGCACATTCTCGATAATTCCCGCCACTATCCTTCTCCACTGGCCACTCTACGGACACTTTAACATATGTACGTTGTATCGTATTATTCCATTCAAAATTTACACAAAAAATTCAGACAGAGCATTAATTCATTCTAAATTTTGACAAATATCACGTTTCGCCACTTTTCGAGTGATTCGAAAACGATTAAAATAGTTTAAAGACATATGAAATTTCCTGTTCTAAGCCACGATTATCTGTATTTTTATTTCTATAGCATAACAATTATTATTTTGCTAGAACGCTTCTGTTAAATACGATTTCGAACTTCCTTGAATCGACATTTTCTCGCTTCTGATAAATTTTCATAGCTTCAAACAATCAATTTCCATTTGCGTGAAGTTTCAGTTACTTATAGGTTAATTCAATAACTTAATTCTCTAATTTGGTGTAACAAAACAAATGTTCACTAACCTTATTCTATTTCAGATATCGGTAGCTACGCCCGACAAGGTGGCGTCAACCACAGCAGCAGCAACAACAGCAACATGTCGACGTCTTGCAGCAGTCCTAACCAAGCGTTGGACTCGTCCTGCAACGCCAACCTCCTACAGTCTTCCGTGCATCAACTTAGAATAAATTGCCTCCAGAACCCTCATGCCGGCGGGACGTCCGACGCAAGATGAAACCTGCCATCTTCTTAGGACCACCGCCCTGTCATCTACTTAGGACTGTCTCCCTGTAATCTACTTAAAATTATCAACATGTCATCTACTTGGACTACCAGTACCAGCGCGATCTACTCACCTCCATGCTAGACTGAAGAAACGTGTTCGCTGAAATCAGATGTCAAGCTGTGATCCGTCACGTCCAATAAAATGACATCACGTGTTTCGCTTTAACTGTCCGTTTTCGATGTGGCCAACGGGATGGTTAAGTCGCACGCAGCCTTGCCAGTTTTGCTCCAAAAGCAGCCTACGCCTAAATAAAGTTCGTGGTATAGGTCGGCGGTAATTTATTTCCCTTCCGTTGACAAATTGATTGTATTGCTGATAATATTGAATCGTTAAGTTTATATGGGTGTTCTCAACATTAAAGAGAATGCAAATAAAAATCTAACTGCATTATTAACTACGACGGTACCATAACATTTGACGTCAGACAGGTATCAGTTGCGTTTTAAGCTCGCGAGATAACATGCAAAATGATTAGTTTGTTAACAGCCTAAGCAATTATGCGGAGCGTAATTCAGGCTGGTGCTAATGGAACCTTATACATAGCCTCACAAATGGCATGGATTTCTTTTGCATATATTTTCTCATTTGTTTCATTATATACATTTTCTAGTGAAACCATGCAATCATTCTATGCTGAGTTATTTTCTCTATCAATGCCAATTGAGGAAACTGCATAATAAACACCCAAATATCAAGAATCTAAGAGTATTGAGATTTATTTGTAATCTAAATACTCATCGACCTAACGCAGCCGATCGGCAATCACGAATTGTCAAATAAAATGCGACAGGGGCTATCAAATGTCAGGATCTTATCGTGTGAATACTAAGAGAAAACCTGCTCTAATTTTACACATCATCATGAAAATCCTGTGATTCGCGCTTTTTGTTGATTTAACTTAAGTTCATGCGACTGTCCAAGAAATGACGCTGTTCGGCAAATACCGAGCTCAAGATTCATCAGTATTTATGTATCGACTCTGCGACTATTTGACTGAGTCATGTGTTTTTATGTGTAATTTCGTCCGTATTGTACATGACAAGGGTATCTGGTTCATAGTGTAATATCTTTTGTATATTTGATTTAGCATATGATAGATTGACGTATGTATGCTTCGGATGATTTCATCAGTTGTTGTCTGCAATGTTTTCTTAGTGGTCGCCTTACTTAGCGAAACTTCAGCTAGTAACCAAAGACTTTAAATTATTGTTCAGGGTATTGACTTGAGCTCTACTTTATTATTCTCACCATCGACCCACCACTACACAATTACCCACCGTGTTCACCTCATTCATCTCTTAGAATGTCATAATACCACTACCACCAGAGACCAGGGCCTATACTTTCAAAAAAGTTAAGAGATCGTAAGTTCATCAGCCAATCATTGACGGCCTTCCAAGCAAAATCCACCAATCATAGACAAGAAAATAGAGCGTAATTACTTTCGTTAACTTAGCGAATTTTGAAAGTATGGCCCCAGGCATCTTCACCTTAGAACTCTTCTCGCTTACTCCAACTACTTCTTGCCGGAAACACTGGGCACTTCTGCGACCATTGGCAGAAGACACCGATTACAGTCCCTGATGAGGATGTGTCTGGTACTGCCTCAAATTAATGGTCGTGTACGGTAGACATCGAGTTGTTAGTGCGTACCTTTTAGGTCGCAGGAACTAGGATTTCGGCTCAGCGGATATACAACGAGATTCTTCCTACCTTTCTTCCCCGGGCATGAGGGGAGTTGGCAGGAAAGCCCCTCAGCCGCCAGCGGCCTCAGAGCCTCTCTTCCTCTTCATGGGGAGGAGAGAAGCTCCTGCCGACCGCCCATGTCCATTTCATAATTTAAAAATATATATCCTACTTTTTTCACCATCAAAACTACTTTCTCTTCTCATCTTTGAAAATGTAATTTCTTCACTCTCACCTTTAAAACTGCCCTCATTACTGTTTACATTAATTTTCCCCTAAACTTTCCCTAACGAATGTATGAACCGATTTGCCGCCAACGTCTCCATCCTTAGACATGGGCACTGCATTATTGCATTATTGCACTCCAACGCTCTTCACAATTTGTTAAACGCATTAGGTACAGTTATTCGATTGCTATCGAATATCCACCGATTAATATTTAAAATCGCCGCTCAATAGTTACCACCATTTTCCTCTTTATTTAAGTTAGAATTAACCAACACGGTTTGGCCCCTCTCTCTCAGTGACTCGATTCTCACGTACAGTAAGTTTTGGTGCAAATTTTTGCGTGTCTGTTGAGGCTTAGTCCACGGCACGAGCTTATCAATGCTATCTTTCCTTATATTAAATTGCGAGCTTTTCTCCAAGCCGTTTATTGAGTATATGAAGAGGCAGAAAAGAAAAGCAATAAGTTGTGTTTTGAATTAGCGGCGCCAAAGATGGACTCAATTAACGAGTAATACTCAACAATGAATTTCTTTGCTCCGTGTCCTCTTCGTGGATATAATGTTGTGAAGAACTAAGCCGATTTCTGTACGGTTTGGTATCTGAATTCAGTGGTTGTACTGAAAATTTTAAATTCTTCAAAACTATTTTTGGGACATTCCTGGTTGACCAGAAACTTTGGGATTCACAAGTTATCCATTACATTATTTAAGGTACTTTCGTGCATGGGGTTTCGATGTTTTGATTGAGACCATACGAACATCGAATGCACGCAATTGTTTTCATCACATTAATCGTCTTCAAATTTTTGCCGCCACATCGATTACTCTACATTACGTTTATTTTTGAGTATCAATTGCTGAGAATTTAAAGCCTTCTGTCAGCCCATGTAAATTTCGACCTATGTCTCGTTAATTTTGATCCCAGCAAACATTCGGAGAAAATGTTACGCGTATTCTCTGATGAAACTGTGAGCGAATTTAATTTTGTTTATTTATTATTTAGGATTTATTTCATGTCGTGTCTTATTTAGGAAATCAATCCATATTTTTTGTGAAGTGATTATGTCGTTTGTGAACGACCAACCTGTTCAAGATAATTCCACCCTCATCTCATCGTCAAGATCGCGATGGACAAAATGAAAGTTCAAGTTTAATAGTGCATCGAATCGTCAATTACGTCACGACGTGATAAAAAAATTCATCATTTTAGTATAGATTAAGAAAAATCAACTATTTTTGATCGCATCCAAGTTCACGGTTCATAGCACTTATTTATGATCATCTACAAGTTCGATCATGTTTCCATGAAAAATATTCATTTGTTATGTGTTTAGGTTCTGGTTATGATGATTTTTTGACTTACGATTAAGAAAGAGTTCGTAGTTGGACTTAACATCATTAAAAGATTCGCGATAATAGTAATTTTTAGGAATATTTGATTTTGTTTGAAATTTACCTGAAAAGATAATGACTGAGGCTTGTTCACTAGTTCGCTAGTGCTTTGTAACTTTGTATATAAATTAGAATAAGTGTAAATAGCGGGCTAGAGATCTGGTATTTTACTATTTAGAAACAAAAGGCATGAAATGAACGCTAATGTTCACCATATACAAGTTTGCGCTTCAGACATTCACCTCCAGTTCATGAAAGTCATTTTTTTTTCATGTCGTGTCGAAAAGTCAAGTTTTATTTGAGTTACAGAAAGAAAAAATTGCTTCATTATGCCTGAATGATTCATGTTGATAAACTTATGTTTGCGCTAATTTTGTCAACCCATTTCAATATTCTGCGTATTGCATTGAAGATGGCAAACGATGATCCCTCGACGTCTTTAGAACTTTATACATCCGATGGTATAAACCTTAATTCAAGTCCATTTGCATCTCTCTTGTTTCTCGACGCTCATTTTCTAATGGGCTTCATTTTTAGAACAATTTTGTGATGATTACTCCGTATTTTTAATGTATTTATTTCTCTTCTCATCTCGGCAATATTTTTGTATTTATTGTTTTGCGGTTGGCCTTGAATTTATTTAATGTCTTCACGGAAGATTCTCTTGACATCGTATCTTTGCAGCCTAGCCAGCTTGTGGTTCATCTCAATAAACCAAAAAATTATTACTTCTGCAGACAGTTACAGATGTATAAATATTATGTTTCATTTGAATTCTGGTAACTTTATAAGAAAAAAGTTTTTCAAGCAACTTCAACAAATCGCAGTCATGCAATCAGAATCACTGCATCTAGAATCTAGTATCATAATGATTATTCTCGTCATCGCAGTGAATATATAATTATCATTGTGATTATACTCATTGCAGTAATGATTATACTCACTATCGCAGTGATTATACTCACTGTCGCAGTGATTACATTCACTGTCGCAGTGATTATACTCACTGTCGCAGTGATTATACTCACTATCGTAATGATTATACTCACTATCGCAGTGATTATACTCACTATCGTAATGATTATACTCACTATCGTAATGATTATACTCGCTATCGCAATGATTATACTCACTATCGCAGTGATTAAACTCACTATCGCAGGGATTACATTCACTATCGCAGTGATTACATTCACTATCGCAGTGATTATACTCACTATCGCAGTGATTATACTCACTATCGCAGTGATTATACTCACTATCGCAATGATTATATCATTATCATAGTGATTATACTCACGAATACAGTTTCTGATTTGATCAATTTTCTTAAAGAAGTTGAGGCTGATGATGCGAGCGCCGAACGTTTTGTTGTTTAGTGATAGGGTCGAGACCAAGAGGCCCCTTTGTTGTGTTTTGTATCGTTTTAAGGTTGAATTTCTTCTTACTTTTGCTGTCTTTTGAACATGCTCTGCAAACAGCGGATCCTGTGAGCTACTCTGGATTAGTGCCGTAGCCAATCACTAATAATAAAGTGAAATGTTTATACTCATGAAATTGGATATGATTTCCCCTTGATGACTGCATTAGTTCTCGGGAAATTATTGAAGATCAACCCCGGAGATCTCGTTCTGAAAATAATAAACATCCACGGCATATACAGCCTTACATTTAACAATCTTTGAGAGAGAAACTTCTTATAAGCCACTTTATTAAAATGGTTAGAAGACAATCTGGCATCATTTAAAACGTAGCTCATGGAATTGACAACATTACTAGAAATTAAAATTTTATTCATTGAAGGTAAACTGAGAGCAGAAGAAGTTTTCAGACAAAAACTAAAACATTTATGTTCGTTTCTAACTACGGCTAAGACCCATCAACGTAAATGTTCTACCGCAAATGACGCATTAAACCCATTTCTAACATCTATATACCACACTTATAGATAAACGATACAACATTGATCATAATAAGCTTTTCTAAGGGAAACCCATTTCAACACTGTTTCGTAGCTATCAGGATAATTTTTTATTTTTTATTACAATGCTTTGTTCAATTTGAGGTGAGATACTTTTATTAAAGGTGGCGACTCAAGTGCTACTGGCTTCAGTCATCAGTACAGAGGAACGTCCGGCGCGTCTTCGAAATCTTATTGGCCGAACTCTTCACCCTCCGCCTGATCGTGCTCTTCACCCTCCGGCTCACTGAGCTCTCTACCCTCCGCCTCACCGTGCTCTTCACCCTCCGTCTCATCGTGCTCTTCACCCTCCGCCTCACCAAGCTCTTCACCCTCCGGCTCACGGAGCTCTTCACCCTCCGCCTCACCGTGCTCTTCACCCTCCGCCTCACCGTGCTCTACACCCTCCGCCTCACGGAGCTCTTCACCCTCCGCCTCACGGAGCTCAGACGCGAGGCATAGCGCTGCTTCAACGTCACACTCGCAGACGCGGTTCACGCAGGTCGCCTCCGACCGAACTATTACAAGTGATTCAAACATCAATAAATCCGCCAATAAATGATATTTTTGCAGCTCAATACCTGCTATTTTATGCAGAAATATTATCGCAGCAAATATAATTTTTAGAATACACTTGTCGCCCCAAGAAACCCTCATCACAAAAGTACAGTAATTCATCAAGTACTTATATTTGATTCTTCACACACAAAAGTCGAATTAATAAGCAATCCAAACCTTCAATAGTTGATAGCGATTGGTGCTTGATGCTTTTTCGTTCCTTATAACTGGTGAAGACTCTCACAACCAATTACAACCAACATCCTGGATAATTGGTGATACAAATTTTGCTTGGAGAGAACGTGAACATAAACCCATAGAATAATGAGTAAATAACTAATAATCGCGTTTTAACTCACCGCAATGCTAACGTGAACCTTAATTAATACTGAAATGAACAACAAAATAACGTTTTAACTCACCGCAATGCTAGTGTGAACCTTAATTCATACTGAAATGAACAACAAAATAACGTTTTAACTCACTGCAATGCTAACGTGAACTTTGATTCATACTGAAATGAACAACAAAATAACGTTTTAACTCACCGCAATGCTAACGTGAACTTTGATTCATACTGATTGCCGGCAAGATTTATTATAAATTGGAAATAAATGTTCTGCCCGTACAAGAAACATTAATGTATAGTCTTAGCCCGAGTGCCGGCAAGATTTATTATAAATTGGAAATAAATGTTCTGCCCGTACAAGAAACATTAATGTATAGTCTTAGCCCGAATGCCGGCAGGATTTATTATAAATTGGAAATAAATATTCTGCCCGCACAAGAAACATTAATGTATAGTCTTAGCCCGAGTGCCGGCAAGATTTATTATAAATTGGAAATAAATGTTTTGCCCGCACAAGAAACATTAATGTAGAGTCTTAGCCCGAGTGCCGGCAAGATTTATCATAAATTGAAAATAAATGTTCTGCCCGCACAAGAAACATTAATGTAGAGTCTTAGCCCGAGTGCCGGCAAGATTTATCATAAATTGGAAANGTGTATAAGAGACAGGTCTTAGCCCGAATGCCGGCAAGATTTATCATAAATTGGAAATAAATGTTTTGTCCGCACAAGAAACATTAATGTATAGTCTTAGCCTGACTGCCGGTAAGTTTTATCATAAATTAGTAATAAATGTTTTGCCCGCACAAGAAACAATGTATAGAGTCTTAGCCTGAATGCCGGCAAGTTTGATCATAAATTGGGAAGAAATGTTCTGCGCGCACAAGAAACATTAATGTGGAGTCATAACAAAAAATCATGGCAAGTTAAGAGTTATGTTAATCAAAGCCAAATGGAAACCAAAATAATACAAGCAAATTGAAAGGCAAAATCATTCAAATAATTTGAAAAGTATGATAATCCATTAATTTCGAGTGTTTAAGATTGTCCAAGCTAATTCACTTACCACAAAGAAATTGAAGCGGTACAAAAATCTCTAGTGGAAATAGCCTGTATGTAAAGTACGCAACTGAAATCTCTGTTATTCGTGAACTTTTGGAAGATGTAGTGATGAAAATGTGCTATACCTAATAACCGCAAAAAATATAACACAAAATGTGTTATGCCTAATGGCCATAGCAAAACAGCTAATATTTATATAGCATAGTAATAAATAAGTCAATAATGCTACTAGGTGCAATAAAACAATAGCATGGCACCATAGACCATAAGCCCCACCAGTTGCCGTAGTATATGCAGGATGAAGGGGCGGCCCCTTCATCCTGCAGAAGTTATACTTAATAACCATAAACAGACAGCTAATTATAGTAATAAATTAGTCAATAATGCTACTAGGTGCAATAAAACAATAGCGTGGCACCATAGAATAGCAATAAGCCACACCATATAAACTATGTGAATAATAATGTGGCTTGCTTATGAGCCATAGAATAGCAATAAGCCACGCCATATTAGCCTTATGAATAATAATATGGCTTGCTAATAAGCCATAGAATAGCAATAAGCCCCACCAGTTGCCGTAGTATATGCAGGAGGTAGGGGCCGTCCCGGCGTAGAAGGTGAGCTCGGTCCCGTACTTGCCGAGGCTGGGCGAGAAGCGGCGACGGAACAGCGGCGTGGCGAGACGGAGGCCGTCGGATGAGGTCTGCGGGGAGGGGGTTGTTGTGATTAATACTGTAAACAAACTGGTCTCTTATATATAAATACATATGCACGCGTTGTATTTCGTTTTGTAAATATGCATTGAAACATATTGCCCGGGGGAGGGAGGTTTTACGCTACCTACGGACGGTTAACAAGCAGCATGGTCTATGAAAACGTCGTTGACTTTCGCTTGTCTTCACTGATCATTTGGACTGATCGAGAGAACCCAAACTCGTCTCTGTCTACTACGCCTCAAACACCTCTTAATTGTGCTTTGACAATAATATTGTTGCCATTAACTCCATTGATAATGACGCCTTTAGCAATAATGACGACGTCAGCAGCGATATTGCCAATAATGCTTTTGACAATGTTTATAATAACCCCATTGACACAGCAACCTTAAATTATTAATCCCATAAATTATTATTATTATTATTATTATTATTATTATTATTATTATTATTATTATTATTATGTATTATAATAAATTATATTATTAAATTATTAATCCAATATCCAATATCTACGTCGACATCAGCCGATAATAAAGTTATGAAAGTAAGGATATTGAATTTAAAACTGTGGACTTGACTCGCCTGTAATTATAATATTTTCATCCCTGTTGACTAATTATGCTGAACATTAACGCTATTCTCTGAATCTTCTTCGTGCATTCTATCCTGCATTAATTAAAGCTAACCTCGCTGAGCGTGTGGTAGACGTCAGTCAAGTTGCTCAGTTCAGCGAGGATGTCAGTCAAGTGGTCTCTGCTGACTTGCTGCTGCCACTGAGCGCTGACTGGCCCAGCGGCCGTCAGCGGAATCAGCGTGCCTCTGAGCTCATCCTGAGATATCGGGAATAATGATAGCGATCAGTTAAAATCATCAAAATTATAAACAATATTAGAGGGTAAGAAATAAAAAAGTTAGATAATAGCATGGGGTATCTGCCCTGAAATCAAATAAAGAATAAACAATTTAAATTGCATAGAACTTTATCAAAGAATTTGTTCTAAAATTTGCGGCTATCATGCAACATCGCACCCTGGTGTGTTACTAGTAAATTGAATGTTACTAGTAAATTGTTACGTCGCACCACTTAGTGTGTTACTAGTAAATTGAAACAATAATTTAAAACTTTCATTTACTTTAATTTTAAAATCTTCCAAGTCAGGCCACTCGAGTCTATCTTTATCCTTGATGACGTTGGCAAGCCGGTTGTCCACGAGCAGCTCTCCACTGCTGGCCACGGAGGACAGGAGGCTCGACTTGTCCGCCTCAGAGGCCTTCTTTCTCTTCAAGGCGTCCTCCTGCTTACGCAGGATGGCCTTCTCTGGGTTGAAAAATTTCGGCCATCCGAGGTTCACCTTGTCCTCCGTGAGCTGTTCACCTGCAGTACCTGCGTGAAAATCATGGGTGTGTTATTGGTGGCTGATAGGTGGCTGATAGAGGACCATCATACCAACGTCATGCGTCACCACAAACCCGCCGATGTTATGTCAATTAATCATTGTTGTCTACGGATATGTTAACCGTTGCCAATACTGCTATCCAATAAACGCGTAACGAAGTAGAGGAAGGGATAAACTGTAAGCATGCGTCTCCTGAAGCATTATTAGCTGCTGAAGAACACTATAACATTACATGAGTTATACTCCAACGAACAAATTTATTTCAGAATTGACAAAAAAAAAAAACAGGCAAATTAAGCAACGCTGCAGCCAACCTGTTACAAGACTCCAAGTAACCAAACTTACATGACTAATGAGTCTTGTAACACAAGACTAAGTTATCACAAGTGTTACAAGGCTCATGATTTATGTGGTTGCTGCAGCAACCACATACATAAAGGCACGTTTGTTTACAAATTATAAATATTGAAAACGTTACGTTGGGCCACATTTTACATAACGCTGCAATAGACATGTTACAATTCACTTCGTTAGGTTGAAAATTACATAACACCGAAATAAATTTGTTACAAAATATTACGTAAAGTTGCAAATTATTTAACGCTGTTATTTTCGTGAAACTAACTATAACGTTATGGCTCAATATATGTAACGCTGCGGACGCTGCAGTTGTGTCACAAAATCGTACATTATGCCTTGAATTATAAAACGCTGCAGTTGGCGTGGTGCAAAATACAACGTTATGCGTGGTAGTTTGGTGCAATTTTTTAATGTTACACTTATGCAACGCGGTGCAATTGTTTAATGTTACACTTGTTGGCGTGGTGCAAAATACAACGTTATGTATCAAATTATTTAATGTTACACTTAGGCAACGTGGTGCAAATATTTAATGTTACACTCGTTGGCGTGGTGCAAAATACAACGTTATGTATCAAATCATTTAATGTTACACTTATAACGCAGAGGTAGCCTTCCTCGCAAGCTGCCGTTAGCAAGACTTTCGCTCGTCTCGCATATGTCGCTCTAGCGCAGCCCTCACAGCTGTCGCCGCTACTGGCATGAAAGTCCAGTTTGGCAGTCATCTCATTTCCATTTCGTTTTAGCTATGCCATTTGAAAGCATAATGGTCTCGATCCCAATATTTCATGCATGGATAAGAACAATTCATCGTCTCGTTTCATTTCTTAAAAAAAAAAATAAAACTCGCTTTTTCTTTTAACCAGTGTTTGACTGCACATCAAGAATAGAAGAATAGAATAGAAGTGTCGACACTGAAGAAATAGGGCCATGGCCTATTTGTACCCATGCATACAGTACGATTATAACGATGTAAAATTATGCAGTCGTCTGCCAAGGAAATTATACTGCGGTTTCAGCATGTGTCCAAATTCGGGGTAAATTGGTGAACTCAAATTGTCGTTAAACTACGATGCTCGCGATGAGTATCATAAAAGCGATGAGTTGTTCCCATTATGTGCAAATCAAATATAGTAGTATCAGGGTATCAAATATTCAGGCATTTAATCATTTTGTATTTGCTTATTTGTAAGCATTCCTAAACCCATGCAGGACTGCATTTTAATCTTGGACAGTAGAATTGGCCCATGTTTTGTAGAAAATTGCATTTGTCGATGGAATATCAGATTTGGTAAAACGAACTAATTTCATTTAATTTCAATGATTTAATTTCATTGCAGCATCGTTGCAGCATTGTGATACCAAACAATATGATAGTAAAAACTCAAAATATTGAAATTAATATTCATGGCGGATCAAATACATCTTGCATGCTACTTATAGGACATGGGAACTCCGCGACCCACAGATGCAACAGGTGCTGGATGGTTGGACAATGACTTCTCCTCTCTAAAAAGAAAGTTCAGTGAAAGCTCGAAGAGAACTATTGCCTAAAATATTCATTTGACCTTTGCTGTCTAAATTTCAAGTATTACTAATAAAAGTGATATATTTATAATAGCGTAGAGCAGAAACAATTCTTCGGAATTTCTCTAGTTTCGTTATAAGAAACCCGATGATATATCTATAGATAAGATCTATCATGAATTGAGAATAACATTCATATATATCATAAGTCATTAATGGTTAAATGGGCTCTCTGCATTCTGATGACCTAACATTGTAGGCTTGAAATTATTAATTTCAAGTAATCACTACAGCAACCACTTTAAGCGAAACCTAATGTTGGTGCTCAGGCGTGGGGGGAAGGGTGCTGATGCCTATTTCAGCATCTGATGACGATTAGCAATAAAGTACTGTTATACGGGCGTGCATTTCTTAACTTGTGTTGTTAATAACGGCCAAGCTTTAACAAAAGACGTTATTACAGGTCGAAGAATTGTGTATTGGTGTTTTGCTAGACAGGTAAAAATTTTCCTGAAATTGGTTACATTGTATACGTAATCATTTGGCCGGCTCGTGCACATATGCTGAAGTAGGACAAATTCATGGTGGAACCGAGTGAAGAGTTTGACAAAATAGTTAGGAAAAACTCCTTTTGTAACGACAGCTTATGTCTTATTGTCTTATAATAAAGTTCTTTGTGTATTGTGCTGCACTTTATATATCTACCGTACGTAAACACTCACCGTGAGGAAGAGTGAAGCTCGCAGTGAGCATCAACAAGAGCAGTCCAACATCCATTTTCCCCGGCATCAACGTTATATTGATTGCTTGATTGATTTTTATTCACAAAGGAGCTCTAGTTACAACTCAAAGGAAAAAAAGAAAAACATTTATAAAATAATAGAGACATCCAAGTGAATGCTCATAAGCAGATACGCTTCGCAGGCAACAGAGGTGATTTAAAACTCTATTCCAATGATAAGTCAAAGAAGTTAAGAGCAACAGAAAGTTTCTAAATTAAACACATACAAGGAATATACATACATCTAACTATATATATAACTATATCAATAAATTTGGTTTAAACCGAATACCAATAATATATCAAAAATACCCTAATTTATTCACTACAAACGTTTCAGGAAAGCAAAACTTCGATTTTTCTCTGCAAGTCACATTTAATAATGGAAGAGAATAATTTTGTTATTATAAATTTTTTTACAGTAGTACAGGTAGTAGTACATTTGTCACAGCTCGTCATATTTATATAGTTTTAGAAATTCTTGTGTTGTGGCGGAAGTCGGCCTTATGACAGATTTAATGGAAAATATTGCATTATGTGTTATTTACGATTGTTTTGTAGTGTTTAGTTCATTGAAATATGTCGTTAAATCGATCTACACATTTTTGTAACCTTGTAACTCGCGTAAACATCCCGCCGAAATTCAAAGTTTCAACATTGTTTGTTCACAATAAAACTTTTGCACATTGATCACTTTCGTGTAAAAAAAAACATTCTGCCTAAAGTAAATACCATGAATTGTTGGATAAATAAATGATAAACGTAGGTGCTCTATATGAACAATGCAGTGGTCTCACTGCCTCCTGCTCAGCTGTTCCTTGCTAACTGAACACCGTCTCGCACACGCACTGAGTCTGACTGGCGACTGCTGCAACTGAGCATATGCAGGCATTAAATGTAAGAACGCATGGTAAGAACTTTCCGCTGCCCGTTCATTATTCTCGCGTTGAGAGTGTCAGTTCATTATTCTCGGACATTTATGAAACACTATGACATTATTCATAGACAGAGTTTATAGCAAAGATATGTGTCAGTTCATTATTCTCGTAGGAATTAATCTCTCTCAATGGTTAATATCTCAATAATTGACATGTTAATAATTAATGTTGATATCTTTACGAAGGAATTAATCTCTCTCAATGGTTAATATCTCAATAATTGACATGTTAATAATTAATGTTGATATCTTTACGATTGACAGAGGATGCCACCATTCAGTAATGAATTTTATAGTACTTTATAGCGTGAAAAGTCGAAGCTGTTCGGTAGTATCGACATATAGCGTACACCTTAAATATTGTAGCACACCTAACCATTAAGGTTCGTGATTCAATATATTGTTTGATAAATTTTAACGCAGCAATATCAGACAATTTAGTCAGCAAGAACGTTCTGACATGCTGTACTTTACCCTATAATCATCCTTCATACCACAGGATGGAAAAAATTATTTGGAATTCGTGACAATGAACGACTACAGGACCTCGGTTTCCTATTATTTTGGCCCAGAATTGATCCCGAATGTTTTTTTTTATTAAAACTGGCCACCCAATCGATTCTGGATCAAACAAAACCACACGCTAAATTCAAGGATATTGGTTTTCAACACCACTTCCTACGTGTTTACTGTTTGAGAGCTACCTATGTTTATTCGTTGTAAGACTAAGACTTGGAAACGTCTCGGTATGATGTACATTGAAAGAGATATTCCTTGCCAAAGCAGATTGTACTCACTTTGGGCGTACAAATTACTGGTGGAATCGCTACGTATGTAACTTGATTATTCTCTCAATAACTTATGTACTGAAATTTTACTGCTAGGTTCGCAATAACAGCTTCACTAGTAGCTTTATCATTCAACACATACAGTGGGGGGAAATAAATATTCGTACACTTGAAAAATCGTATTTTAATGTATGTAAGTACACAAACTTAACAGGAAAAGTGATTTAAATTATGTATAGAGACGCATAGTATTCAAAAATACTATCAAAAGAAATTAAATCTCAATGCAACAAAAAATAATGCAACATGTTCTTTGCATTGTTTTTTGTTGCATTGAGATTTAATTTCTTTTGATAGTATTTTTGAATACTATGCGTCTCTATACATAATTTAAATCACTTTTCCTGTTTAAGTTTGTGTACTTACATACATTAAAATACGATTTTTCAAGTGTACGAATATTTATTTCCCCCACTGTATATTCAAATGCCTATTAGCGAACTAATTAGAAAGTCTGTTCACATTATTGTGCTCTGTGGCTTCAACCATTCTGTCTCGTCTCAAGAAAACTTCTAGAATTATTACAACTACCTAGTGACGATAGTTATACGTCAGATGATACTAACGCCAATTTGTGAGTCTTTTAATTCTTTAGGTAGTTTCGTTTTTCTTTTAAACGCAATCTTAGTAATACTGTGTAGCTAATAACTGATACTATTCCGAAAGGATCTGTGTGAAATTTAGAATAAAAATTATTATTAGCAATATGCCGATATATGAACCGTCACAAATCATTACATACTGTAGCTTCGTTTTCGAAACACATCGACACTTTTTGGCCAAATTTTTGGGAGGAATTCACGTAGCACATATACCTGAAAACGAAGCGGACAAATATAATTCTGACAACGCTCGCAGGAGTATATTGTGAAGAAAAAGCTTAGAATAGAATGGAAATAGAATAGAAGTGTCAGCACTGAAGAAATAGGCACATGGCCTGTTGCCGATTCTTGAATTTTTCGTGACTTGATTCACAAGAGGTTCGGTCTTTGGAACCCGATCTTGCCATAACTGACGATTGATTGAGATAGCTGCTGGACTTATTGCCTGGTCCGTAATTTGCTAGGTATTTTACGACTGAACATATGCTCCTGCAATCCTGCATAGCTTCGTCTAGTCTGTTCTTGAAGTCGTTCATACTTGGAGCGCCAACTATGTCTTCGGGGAGGCTGTTCCACATGTCGGTGATTCGAAGCGAGAAGAAATGTTGGCGCGTGGAGAAGTTGCAGCGCAGTTTTTTTAAATTATAGCCGTGGCCCCTGGTGTTGGTTCTTGTTTCATATTCTAGTAATCCTTCTGGAACCTTGTATAAGCCATGAGTATACTGTATACATGTATGCTTCAATGACGTCCCCACGCAGACGTCGATAACTGAGGCTTGGAAGCTTCATAATCTTTAATCTTTCCTCATAGGACTTGCTTTGCAAGCCCGGAATTATCCTTGTTGCACGTCTTTGAACACTCTCTAATACATTTTTGCCCTTTTCAAGTTTCGCTGACCACACGACGTTTCCAAATTCTAGGTTCGGGCGCTCGACAGCAACAAACAACTGCTTCACCGCTTCTGCATCTAGGAACTCGAAAGAGCGGTTGATCAGTCCAAGTCGTTTATTGGCTTTATTATTAACTTGACATTCAATATGCTTAGAAAATTTCAACTCATTGTCGATAGTAACTGCTTAATTTTTTCCATTGTCGACTTCGACATCATCACTCTGTCGTTGCAACAGTGTCTTCTCATACTGTAATCTTGCTGTAGCTTCGTTGCTAGTAAGGTCAAGATCAGTTTCGATTTGATGAAACTGTGTGAAAACCTGCATAAACGCAATGTTCAGCGCGCTAATTAAAATATAAGAAGGCAAAAAAGCTGTCGCATAATGTCAATAAATATCTCCATATTTATTTGGTAGTGATCGGTTTCGATAGGCAAACTTGGGCGCAAAAAATCTGTTGTGGAAATTCGTCCCAAAAGTGTCGGTGAAGTGTTTTGAGCTGTGTAGAAAAACAAAACTAAGTAAAATTTCATGAATGTCTTCAATTTCATCAATATTGAAGCTCAGAATTGAGAGAGTTATGAGCTGGGCAGACAAACGGAATAACATAAAAATTTCTATTCAATTACAAATTGGCGTCTTTATATTAATAACTTATTTGATAAAATTAAATGTCAATCCCTTCTGAATTGACGGCGGAACGAGCTGTAATGGAGAATTTTCGATAACATCAGTCCATCGAATAAAGGAATTTCAAAGTTACCTCCAAATGGTGCGAAACTTGAAAAGATTAAAGCCACTGTGATATTTTTCCTTCTCTGATTTTCCTTTTCTGCCACTGTGATAATAAAATCTTATGCAGAAGTTTAAATACAATACAAATTTTTTAAGTCGACCAACTAAAACGTTAAGTCCAAATCGAAACAAATAAAAACCGTCTGGAACGAAATAATTAATTCTAACTTCCATGAGTTCATCACTTATAATATTTTTCACATTTTTACCTATTACACGCTGTTTTGCGTAAGTTTAGAAATGGATGTGATGTGCTAGTAACATATCCTGCTGATCTTTAATCGGGCTCGCGAAGCTCCCGCGTATCCACGCTAGCCGCGTTGCTACGCCGCCATCTTTGTATCAAACTGGCGCCTCGGCTTACTCTCTCGTTCCTACACATTTGGACGTTTTGGTAGCAATGGAGGAAGAAAGAACAGAGCAGAAAGAATTAGGCTGTTATCAAAAACTCCTTCTTTCAGTGAGAGATCGATATTTGAGAAAATTGTTCGACATTAACGATGTTGATGCCAACGAAGTGCCGGCAAAGCCGCGATGTGCAGATATTGCAAGCCTGCCTCCCGTTTAACACGGTGATTTAGTACTAAACTATTTGGTGTTTGGTGGTCAGCCAACACACCTTGCAAGAATTCAAGGCATACAAGACGCTTGAAGCTTAAAAACAATTTGTGGATGTATGGGTACAGGCGATGGAGAAGCGAAACTTCAACGAATCAAGAAAGGCGATGTACTTGGTAGAGTTAGTTTGGTAGTGCAACTGGACTAAGATAATGATGCTGATGAATGGAACCTTCTGAGAATGGAAAATGAAATTCCTTTTCACCTTTTTGAAGAGGAAAAGGATAGAATTTTATCAATACTTACCAAGTAACCTGGGTTCGGACAGCTCATAGTAATACCGATCCCGATATTGGACGCGCTCATGTGACACCTCAGACCACAGAACTGACCAACAACACAATAATTCACCAGAAACCTCGACGTTTTGCAAAACCAA